GGGGGAGGAAGCTGCGAGGGCCAAGAACATTAAGTCATGGAAACTCAGGCTGTGAGAGGGGGGCCACACGTGCCCTGGGAACGGGATGAACTCTGGGCTCCGTTTATTTCCACCCGGTTGTCATGGCGATGGGGGAGGGGGGCAAGGAGGGAGATGGGCCTTTCCCTTTCAAGGACCTGGCCCGGCGCAGGCATCCATGTGAAAGGCGCCTGAGGCCTGGGCACCAGGGACCCAAGAATCCAGGCCCCAGCCCCTCCTCCCTCAGACCTGGGGGGACAAGGTCCCCAGCACCCCCTCATTCAGACCTGAGAATCCTGGCTCCCAGTCCTTCCGACTGACCCCAGACCCCAGACCCCAGACCCTCCCGCTAATCTAGACCTCCAGCCACGAAGTCACCAGGCAACTTTGGGGAGGGGGAGAGTATACCAGGCTGAGGCTTGAGAACTCCCAGGGACACTAGCGGGGTAAGGGGCTGGTGTTTGGGGACCCGCTGGGGCAGGATTCAGAACAGAAACCACCGCCCAGGCCTCACCCAGACCGGGGGACAGCCGTCCCAGTGCCCTGGAGCGTGTTTGGTGCTGAAACCAGGCCCGTGTCCGGCAAACCAGCATGACCTGATGACCCCAGGCCCAGACCTCACCCACGGCCGGCTCTCCCACCCGCGGGCCCTGAGATCTGAAACAGGAATTCCTCCGCCCTGAACCTGGGGCGCCCTAAAACCCTTCGGGCCTCCTGAAAGCCCTGGCAGCAAGTTAATCAAGTTGTGGCCTGGAGTGGGAGAGGGATCCCACCTGAACAGCAGCGTGCCAGGCTGGAGGGGCCTTGTGCAGGGCCCAGGCCAAGGGGGATGCTGGGTAACAGGGCCTGGAAGGGCAGGGCCGGGAGCCCCGTAGGGAAGGTCCAGCGGAGCCAGGGGTGGGGAGAATGGCAAAAAATGAGGGACACTAAAGCCTGAGGACCCCCTCCTGCCCTGGCCAACTTCTGAGACCCTACATGGCCTCAGGGAAGTGGGATTCTCCTCCAGGTGAAAGAAAATGTCCCAGGTGGCACTAAGACCTCTGCAAGGGACAAGCCTGGGGGTGGGGCAGGAATGGAGAGAGGAGAAACACTCAACCAGGGCGACACTACCCGCTGACCGCCCCCCCCCAGGGCTGCTTCCTGCAGGCAGTTGGCACACACACAACCTCCCCTTTCACCAGCACCCTGCTGGGGAGGGCCTGATGACCGGCCCCATTTTACAGGTAAGAACACTGAGGCACAGAGGAAGAAGACACTAACTCGAGGTCACAGCGCGGAGGAGCTGAGATCAGAACTCAGGGCTGACTCTACTTCCTGAACCGCGCCCCCTCCTGAGAGGTGGACCTCTCCGAGCACTGCCCCCTACCCCATCACCCTGCCAAGCTCCTTCCCAGGGTCCTCCCTGGCTCCATCAGCAACCGAGCCCCAGGGGTTCTGGCTGGGGCTGGATCAATGTCAGAGGAAGAGGGGTGGGGGAGGGGATGGAGGCTCTGCTGTGGCCAGTCCCGGCCCCTCCTGGTGGTCCCACTGAGGAGGGTTGTGGGGAAAATTACCTACTCAACACCAGAAAAGCACAAGGGCCCAGGCTGAGAAGGAAATGAACCAACAACCCTCGGAAAGGTAACTCGACAGAAAGCTAGGAGGTGACACAGCCTGTGGGAAGGAGAAGGCAGCCAACTCCGCATAAGGAGAGGCTATCGGGGCAGAGAAAGCAAGATGACCAGAGGATGAGGAGGTGGCCAAAGCCAGGAAGAGGTGGGTGCTTTGAGGGAGCCCAGAAGAAGGGCGAGGATGCAGGCCCAGCCTGGGCACAGGGAGAGCGGGGAAAGTGAGGAGGAGGCGCCCGCAGGAGTAACATCCCTAGGAGAAAGCGCCCTGTGGGAGGCAAGAGGGGGCACCAGCCCAGAAGGAGAATTAAGAGGGCGTGGGAGTGGAGGGCAGCAGGGTGCTCCAGACGAGCGAAGCATCCACTTCAAAGGTGCAGAGCTTAGAAGGCAGTGTGAACGTTCGTTCAGAGAAGCGCATCCTTAGTCAGCAACAGATGGCACCCACGAAGGGGGAGAAAGACTAGAGAAAGGGAGAAACCCGAAAGGCACGACAGGGTCGGGACCTCGTCACAGAGGTGGCCCAGGGCAGGGACCAGGAGAGGAGGAAGCAGAGGCGTAGGAGAAGGATGCTCCTCCGTGAAAGTGGTACCTGCCTGGAAGGCAGCAACGGAGGGCGAGCGGCTGTACAAGTGTTGCAGAAGAGGTGGCACACACTCGGGACAGCGTGGCAACATTTGATGGCAGAGGTGAGGTGGCACCGGTGGGGGATGGCACAGGCGACACTGGTAAAGGGCGCTCAGGGTCGGGCGAGGACAGCTCGAAGTGACAAGACCGGGGCCAGTGAGGCAGAACGGACTGAAGCTGTCAGCCATGGCTGGGGTCCCGGAGAGGAGAGGCGCACGACAGAAAAGGCCAAGGCCAGTTCAAGTGGCTCAGGGCTGGAGAAGGGAGCTCGAGGTGCGTGAGATGGGAAAGGGGGCTCCGTCAGGGAGTCAGCCCAGGATGGCAAGGTCCGGCATCGCCGATGCGGACCTGGACCGGGGAGGGCGGTTGCGCAGAGCGAGGCAGCTGAAGCCCGGGGAGGGGCGGGGGCGCTGACCTGGTGCAGGGCGCTGATACCGTCGGCGTTGGTGGAATCAAGCACGGCGCGGGCGGGCGACGGGGCGGAGGGGTCGAGCTGGGCGTCGGGGCTGGGGTCCGCTGCGCGTAGCATCAGGCGCGCCTCGTCCAGGTCTCCGCACGCGCAGGCCGCCAGGAACTCGGCAGCGCGCTCGAAACGCACGGTGCGGACGCGCCGCTCCCCGGGGCCCGGCTCCGCGCCCGCCCGCGCCCCCCACTGCCGCAGCTGCTCCTGCCGCCGCTCGCGGGCTGCCGCCGCCCCTGCCCCCGGGCCCGCTCCCGGGCCGTCCTCGCCGGACATCGCGTCGCCCGCCCGCTCCGTGAGTGAGCGAGCGAGCGAGCGAGCGAGCGCCGAGCCCCAGCCGCCGCCGCCCGCCCCGGGGCCGCCGGGAACTGCCGCTCTCTTCCCACCGCCCGCCGGTGGATCTGCCGGCCCCCGCCCAGCGCTTGGCGTCACCACGCCGCCCCGGGGCTCGCTGGGAAATGCAGTCCAAAGACCGAAGAGAACAGCAGGGAGAGCTGGGAAGTAGAGTCTCTATGAAGTGGACATTGCTAATGGCTATATTCCAGCCTCGATCTGGCCACAGGCGCCGTGGAAAGTCCGGGGCTCTCAGGAGTCAAATGGAAATCTGATTGAGGAAATGGGCCTGGGAACCCCAGGCAATGGAGTCTGTAGCTTGGAGGTGTGCCCCCCAGGGCAAGCTGGGAAATGTAGTTGATAGCATCTGAGGACCGAAACCAAGTAGGGAAGGGACTCTACAGCGCGGGAGTCCTGAAAGCTAGAGAACAAATTTTTCCATACACCTTATCAGCTTTCTTCACCCCAGCTAATTTATGTATTGTGGGCTGTCTGCTTTCTTCAACCAGAGATAAACTGCAGGAGGAGAGCGAATTTGTCTTCTGCGTACACTCCTTGTTCCCATTGTCTATAACGGAGCCTCATTGTATGGGTTCGAAAAGTTTCTGAAAGAATGAATGAGTGGATTCCCTAGGTCGTGGGAAACGCCAGGGCACTATGGGAAATTGAGTCCGCAACTTCTAAATCCTTCGACACATTTCACGTCCATTTATCCTTGGGTGGCCCCCAGGACATGCTGGGAAATTGAGTTTGTGGTACAAAGTTCAAGGCGATCGGCCAACATCCTAGGGTAATGCTGGGAAATGTAGTCCGCAGGACCACGCCCCTAAAAAGCTCAGAGGATCCCAAGCAGATGCCCAAAACACTCCAATATATCAGGCTCAATGGCAAGAAAAGCCCAAAGTCCCTGATGATAACTCCCAGACCACATCTGAAAAGGAACCCATGAGCAGAGGTCCACGATGAGCGTCCGCAGAACCTTTTGACTTGTCCTCTTGGTTTTACCCAGGGTCGTGGAGCACGTTGGGAGATGTAGTCCAGTCTCTACTTCCCGCATGCCATGCTGGGATTTGTAGTCCAGGCAGAAGTAGTCAAATAGATTTGGAGGGGAGTAGTCTCAGACGTAGCACTATAAAGCTCGAAATTATCCTCTCCTTAAGTATCCTGTACATAAGTCCAAGTCTAAAGAGGTGCAGGCACTTTGAAACTGGAATATAGACCCGTAAAAAATCCCCCAGAAAGGGGCTGAAATCTGGACAGATGCAACAGACTCCACCCACTCTGAAGTCTTTTGGCCTGTGCATAGAAATAAACTACCATTCCCACAAGGCCTTGGGAGGACCGGCCATAAATACTAAGAGGCTAGCAGTCTCGGTGGCACTTGGGATATGTAGTCTTCAACTTCGCATTTCCCATGCACCTACCCCCAACCTCCTTCTCCAGGGAGCTTAAAAAATCGGGCAGTAAATCATCCGCATGTTGCTGTGTGTGTTTCTGTGCCTATACATATTGTGACACATTATAATTGTGCGTTCTGTGATTGCGTATTTGTGGGAGTCATAATTTGGGCTATCTGCTCAAGCCACAGAAGGAACTGTGGGTCGTGCTCCCACCATAAGCTCTATTAGCAATGGTTACATTGACTTTAAACGTCTATTTTTAAAATCCTATGCTATTACAATGGTTAAGAATTCCAGCCGTGGTTTAGGCAGTCCTGGGCAGATGCCTAGGCGTGGAATTGCTGGGCCAGTAACTCTGTGTTTAACGTTGTAAGGCACTGAGAGTTTTCCAAAGTGCTGCCTAATTTGGCCCTCCCACCAGCCGTGTGGGAGAATTTAACTTTATATATCATTGTGTTAATAGGAGGATTCTTCAAACAGCAGGAGCTGGCGATAAGAATTTAATTAACCGTGAGATACCGGCTGCATGTTAATGACAATAAATGACAACTCAGCAGGTGACCGCAGGCAGAGCGTTTATTTCAAGCAACAGATGGGAGGAGCCCTTCAAGGGTTCCCGCTGCCTCCTCCAGGTTGGCCACCACCTCAGCCTCATTTCCAGCGGCCTCCGACGCGGCCCTTCCCTGCCCCCTTGCGGCTGTAGGAGAAGGGAGCTGTCAGGAGGGAGGGCTTCCCGGCCCACTGAGATGGGACCCCCTCCCCCACCCCAGCAAGCATGCCCTTCGTGCCCAGAGAAAAGTGCCTGGCAAATGCGTTCTCATTTGGGCGGAGAGGAATGACAGAATGAGGGACAAAGACAGAGAAAGGAACAGACACCGAGACGGAGGGGGGTGGAGGAGAAAAGAGAGGCCCTGGGAGTCAAAGGGAGGGTGTAGGGCTCAGGCCCAGTCACACTTACAACTTCTGGGCGTGGCTGATGCGATTGTACAGCACGTTGATCTGTGGAGGGGGTGGGAAGGAGTGGCTGGCACCGCTTGGGGACAGGCCTGTCCATCCCACCCTGCCCTGTCCCAGCCCAGCCCGTCCCCCAGCAGAGCTGGGGTCTCACCTCGTATTTCTGCTGCTTCATCTTCTCCATCAGGTCAAACTTCTCCGACTCCAGCTGGTGGATCCAGTCCCACAGTTCCTGGGCCTTGTCCCTGGCGGAACAAACTGTCCATCACGCACTGGTGGCTGGCCACGCCCTAGGCTTAGAGACATTGAGGGTACTTTCCAAAGCCACACAGCGCTTCTCTGAATTTGGTATTATTGGCCCAATCTGGTTAATATTTGAGGCAATGGGAAATATTCAATGGGAATTGAAGCCAAGGGCTTTTAAATCTCTGCTCACTCTCTCCCCACCCACAGTGGAGATTCATATTCCCCTAAATGAGAATGAGGTCACGGCTAAGGACCCAGGCTCGAGAGTCAGAAAGCCCTGGTTCAAGTCCCGGCTCTTCCATTCTCTGATTGGTGACAGTGACCAAGTGACTTCCCCTAGGATTGTGTTTCCATCTCAAAAAAAAAAAGTAGAAATAAAACTGTGAAAGAGATGGCTGCATGCCCACCCAATATCTTTTATCCCTTTCTTCCTTAGAAACAGAAGTCTCTGGCCCGGGCTGGTGTGGCTCAGTGGGTTGAGCACTGACTTGTGAACCCAAGAATCGCTGGTTCAATTCCCAGTCAGGGCACATGCCTGCATTGCAGGAGGGTTCCCAGTAGGGGGCGCATGAGAGGCAACTACATCTTGATGTTTCTCTCCCTCTCTTTCTCCCTCCCTTCCCCCCTGTTTATAATAATAAATAAAAGTCTGTCTACTGCACTGAGCTGTGATAGAATGAGATCGTGAATGTGAAATACTATTATTTCGCTGAACTTGAGTCATAGGTCTGGGCACCCAACCAAGAGTGAGTCTTATCTCAGTGACATGTTTCACAGGGAGTCTACAGGGGCTCAGAGAAGGGGAGATACGTGGCCTAAGTCACACAGCACCAGGGTTTCTGCCCTCCCAGATCTGGACAAGGGTCCCTTCCTCTCCCTGTCTCACACTCAGGGCCCCCGCCCCCCACCTACCGGAGCTGGTCCTCCCCCATACTGTCGATGTTCAGGGGCTTCTTACGATCAGACAGGACTCGAACCTTCGCCTCACGCCCCGTCTGGCGCTTGCCCCGCTTCTGCTCTGCCTGAACATTGGGATGGGGACATCTTGAGTTGGGGCACGAACCCTCCAGATGGCTCCCCACGGCAGGACCCAGGGATCCGCAATCCTGGCCACCATCTCTCCCTGGGCCTCAGGCATCTAGACGCCATTCACTCTCCCCTCAGACCCAAGGGTCCAGGCCTCCAACCCCTCCTCCATCAGACCCAGGGGTCCAGGCCCCCTGCCCCCACCCTCAGGAACCAGAAGTCTGTACTCTCAGTTGCCACCTCCCTGGGAACCCAGCCTTCAGCTCCCCTACCAGCTGAACTCACCTTGACCAGGTAACCCCCATAATGACCACCCATGTTGGACAGAACCTTCTTCTTTTTGGCATCATCTTCGGCTCTCTTCTTGGCCTCTTCTTCCTCCTTCCGCATTTTCTCCTCCTGTGGTGGTGGGGGAGGGAAGGTGAACCCCCAAGGCCTGCCCTGCACTGTGCAGGGCAGAGATGAGGATGGAGAAGGGGGGCTCGGACCCAGTGATAGGAGACAAGTAGCATGGAACCAGGCAAACATGCAGACATCCCCTACCCTGGCTCTTCCAGGCCTGGCTGTGTGACCACCCACAAGTCCCTCCTCCTCTCTGGGCCTTGGTACCTCCCCCTCCAGCAAAAATTTAAATGGGGGAGAGATGAGCTCACTTGTCCTGCATTCCTCCAACCTGAAGCGGCCAATGGTGAACCTGGCTGTGTGACCTCAGCACAGACACTCACCCTCTCTGGGCTTTAGTCGCTCTTAGTCTCATGACACAAGAATCACTGTCTTCAGAGGGTCGAGGAGGGTAAATGGTGATGGCACTGCGGGGCCTGAGGCACTAAAGTGCCTGATGGCCTTGAGCCTGAACAAGGGGTTCTAGAATGTCTAGCAAAGGCGGTACCATGTCCAGAATGTGTGGCCTGCATTTTGCAGGCATAGTGGCTTGTCTGGACCAAGACCATCCCCATTGGTAGGGCCGGCGAGGTGGGCTTGATGGTTTTTGCATGTCCAGCCTCCCTCACCTGAGTTAGTTTCTTATGGCTGCTATTCTACACACTTCGTGGCTTCAAACAAAGCAAATTCACCTCATGGGTACTAGACTTATAGGGGGGAGGGGTCACTTCATAAATTACATCAATGTCTGACTACTATGCTGTATACCTGAAACTAATATAATATTGAATGTCAACTGTAACTGGGGAGGGAAATTTTTTTAGTTTTGTTTTAAAGATATTTATTTTTAGAGAGAGGGCAAGGGAGGGAGAAAGAGAGAAAAACATCAATGTGTGGTTGCCTCTCATGCGCCCCCTACTGGCGATCTGGCCCGCAACCCAGGAATGTGCCCCGACTGGGCATCAAACCAGTGACCTTGTGGTTCATAGGCCGGCACTCAATGCACTGGAGTCACACTAGTCAGGGTGGGAAAAAAATTTTTTTAAACAACACAAATTTATGCTCTTACAGTTGTGCAGGTCAGAAGTCTGACACAGGTCTCTGGCCAGAACCCAGGTGTGAACAGGGCTCCTTCTGGAGACTCTAACGAGGTTCTAAGTCCTTGCCTCCCCCAGGTTTAGGGGCTGCCCACCTCCCTTTGCTCTCACCCTCTTTCTCCATCTTCAAAGATCTCTGACCCTCCTGACTCCCTCTCACAAGGAGCCCGGTGATGACATTGAGGCCACCTGGATAATCCAAGATCACCCCCTATCTCCAGAACCTTAGCCACATCCGCAAAGCCCCTTTTGCTGTATAAGGATCGTAGTCACAGACTCCAGGAATTAGGATGTAAACATCTTGAGGAATCCCTTATTCTGCCTCCCACACCACCCTACTCCGGTTCCTTAAATGGGGGGGGAGGGAGTTGTTTATTTGTTTTTGTTTGCTAAATTTAATCAAAAGTATTTCCTTTGATGCCACCTCAGGTTATGTTTCCAAGGCCTAAAATAATGGATGCATTCTGAACACTCTCCCCCAACTAGGGTTAGGTGAATGGTTCTAGCTTGCCTGGGACAGATGGGGTGCAGAAATTTTAGGGCTCAGACCAAAAAAGTCCCAGGCAAACAGGGATGAGTTGGTCACTTCAATGCCCAGAGAAAGATGGGCCAAGGGATTAGAAGGAAAAAAGCTGGGTCTTTGTGAAGTCATTTGAGTCCCTTGATCCAGCCATGCCTGAAGCAGGAAACACCCTAGACTTTTGTTTTGTAGGAGCCAAAAAAAAATTCTCTTTCTGCTGAACCCAGCTTGGGTTGCAGTTTCTGTTCTTTTCATCAGAAAGATTCTTGAGTAACACAGCACGAGGACTTTTTCAGGATCACAGAGAATATCATGAATGGAAAATAGACAGAGAAGGTACCCACCGCCAGCTTGGCCTGACGCTCACGCTCCTTCTCAGTTCTGAAGCGTTGCTGTTGAGCTCTCTCTGCCCGGCGCCGCTCCTAGGGGGCAGGGTGGAGAAGAATTAGGGGTGCAGGGACAACCACCCACCCACCCGCTACCCCTCCCCAGAGGATGCCAAGAGAAAAAAAAATGCACAACTTTCAATGTGGCCAGACTTGGGCCCATTTCCAAAATTTTCTGCCTCGCATCTAACCTGGATGGGAGCTATTGTCCCTTATCCCTCGAGATCCAAAGGATGGCACAGGATAAGGGAAGAATTTGGGGAGCCCCACCTCCCTCGACTCACAATGCGCTCTTTCAGCGCAATGAGCTCCTCTTCCTCCTTCTTGCGCTGCTCAAAATGCACATCAATGAGCGTCTGCAGCTCCAAGAGGTCCTTCTCCTGCCGCTTCCGGTGGATGTCCTGCAGGACAGAAGGTAGAAAAAAAGGTCACCCAGATCTGACCCCTCTGTCATTCTTGGGAGAATTTGTGGGCTTGACAGTTCACTAAATTTCCAGAAGGTGGCAGCAGAGACCACGTTTTAATCGTACTTGGCGTTTAGGATTCAATTCCTAAAGGAGGTCAAATGAGACACACCTGTTCCTATTTCGCACAAAGATACCCTAAGGGCTAGCAGCTGCTGGCTCCCGGGGGCGGGGCGGGATCTCTGTTACTTACATCGAAGTCCACGCGTTCCCCTTCCGGAATCTTTGGGGGGATCAGAGGAGGCATGGGGCGGCTGATGGACAGAAGAGAAAGACAGTGAGCAGTGTGAGGTCCCTGGCAGTCCCAGCAGCAGCGCTAGCCAGTGAGGCGACCACCAGCCACACGTGGTTCTGGGCACCTGCAAAGGGCCTGGTTCCATGGAGAGGGACTGTCAGTGAAATACACATCTGATTTCAAGGGCTTGGTATAAGAAACATAATCTAAAACGATCTCACCCTGGCTGGTGTGGCTCAGTGGATTGAGCACCGGCCTGCAAACAAGAAGGTCACTGGTTTGATTCCCAGTCAGGGCACATGCCTGGGTTGTGGGCCAGGTTCCCCGCTGGGGGCATTCAAGAGACCACAACGGATCAATGTATCTCACTCGTCGATGTCTCCCTCTCTTTCTCCCTCCCTTTCCCTCTCTCCAAAAAAGAAATAATATCTTTTAAAAAAATATTTCATGTTTTATGTTAATTATGAGTTAAAAGGATGAAATTCCAGATATCACAGATTGAACAAAGTACAATATTAAGATTAGCTCTACGTATTTTGTCTTAGTTTTTAAAATGCTGCTAGTAAAGAATTTAAAGTTCCATGCATTGCATTTGTATTGGGCAGAGCTGTTGGGGTGAGGCGAGCCCTCTGTCCTCTCTCTTTCTTGGGCTAAGACACAGCAAACACCTCCCCCTGACCTGCTTCCTACTTCCCTGGCTGTCCCATCTCTGCCTCCTTGACCCCCAGTGAGCCATTTTACTCATTCTTAGGACACTCTCCTGATCAATGTCTTTCACTCCGTGACTTCGACTTCAATGATCATCAATTACTGAGGGCTCGCCAACTCTGTCTGCAGCCCAGACTCTCTCCTCAGCTTCGCACTCAGACACACACCACGTTGCATTGTTCCCTGGCCTTGCCCTGTGCTCTGGTACTCCAGGGCCTTAGCACATGCTGTTCCCTCTGCCAGCAATGCCCTTCCCCTGATAGCCTTGGTCTCTGAGGTCTGTCCTCCTCCACCAAGCCTTCCCTGACTAAATTTCCAGCAGGTGGCAGCAAAGCACCGTGTTCTGACCCTACTGTGTTACATCTGTGCTCTCTCACCCAGATCCGCCCCTGTGCCTCCTCTGCTCAAAACTATTCCATGGCGCCCTAGTGCCCTGGACTTCACGGCTCTGCCTCTTGCTGTATCCTACCCTCAAGCCACCTTGAAATTGACACCCCTGCCCACACAAACCCAAGGAGTTTCTGCTTCTAGGTTTTTTCTCATCCTCAGATCACTGCCTCCTTGCATCTCCAAGCTTCAGCCCCTATGTCACTTCTTTCAGGACCCTCTCCTGGCCATGAGTTCCCCATGCGACCCCTGGTTCAGGCTCTTCCTCATTAAAACGACCTATGTCTGCAACTGCTCCCTGAAAGACTGGCCTAGCTCAGCCACTGGACCCTGTGCACACCACACCGCTGTCTCACCTACAATCTCCCTTCTACCTCCTTCAGCTAGACAGGCATCACCTCCCCCGAGAAGCCTTCCGTGATTGCCTAGGGCAAACACGGAGCGCTGATCTATGATACTCTAGTACCCTGGTTGGTACAATCACTGTATCTGGGGCTGTTTCAGCAGCAGGGCAGATGGGGTCTGACCCACCAAACACCATGGGAAATTCCCCGGAAATGTTTGCTAAAGAAGGAACCACTGCCCTGGCTGGTGTGGTTCAGTGGATTGAACACTGGCCTGCAAACCAAAAGGTCACTGGTTTGATTCCCAGTCAGGGCACATGCTTAGGGTTGTGGGCCAGGTTCCCCAGTAAAGGGCACAAGAAGCAACCATACATTGATGTTTCTCTCCTCTCCTTCCCTTCCCTTCCCCTCTGAAGATAAATAAATAAATCTTTAAAAAAAAACAATAAAATAAATGCTAATTTTTTGTGTGTGTAAAAAAAGAAGGAATCACTAACTGTGCTTCCCTGTGTTTCCATTTACCGACTCTTGTTCTCTGCCTTCCTCACGCCTAGTCTGGGGGGGGGGGGTGTACTCAGGATGGTGGGATTTGGATTCTCCAAACCCCGGGGAATCTCACCTTGGTTTGGGGCGTTCCTCTTCTGGTGGGGGGAGATACAAACAGATCATTAGTCAGAGTTCAGGGGGGGCTGAAGAGAAAACCCCCCAAACCTTGGCTCCCAGGAGCCCAGTTCCCTACTCCAGCTGTTCTGGGGGGCGGGGAAGGGCACGAGGGGAAAGGAGGGAGAAAGGGAGTTAGGGTGGCCGCATCAGATATACATTCAGAACTGGTGTGGGGACCTCCACCCGCTTGTCGGGGAACCCAGAGGGCCAAGCCCCTGACCCTCCCCCTTCGACAAACCCAGACCTCCTCCAACGACCTAGACGTGCAGGGGTCCCCAAGCCCTCTCTTCATTTGGTGATCCAGGAGTTCTGACCCCAGCCCACTTTCATGGGGGGGGGGCACAGGAAGGCAGACTCCCAGTGCCAGCCCCTTCTGCAGCCCAGGCCCCAACCTTTGAATGTATATGGAGGGGAGAAAAATGACAGACAGGGTTGGGGGCAAAGATGGGGGCGGGGTGCCTTTCTGCAAACATGCAACCCTTCAGTTAAGTATTCCTCCAGGCTGGGGAAGAAGGCTTGGGTGTCGGTCCCTTTAAGAAGGAAGGGAAAGGGTTAATGCCGCTGCGAGGCGATTTCCCTTCGTGGCCACCAGAGGGCGCGCGGGCTCTCTGGGGCTTAAAAGACCCAGCCAGGAGTGGGGAGTAAGGGGGCTGGAGGGAGTCCCCGAGGAGATCAGGGTGAGGCGGGTATCCGAGGCAGGGAAGCCCCGAAATCGGGTTCTCGGGAAGCGAAGCAGCCGCGGTTACCTCGCTCTGCCGCCGGCTCCGGCTCTTCGGGGGCTGGGGAGGGTTCTGGGGAGAAGCGCGGATTTGGGGAGAGATGCGGGAAGGGGGGAGCGGCCACGCCCGGGTGCGGGAGGGGAGAGAGGGAAGAGAGTGGAGAGGCCGTTAAAGGAACAGAAAGCCAGGCCATCGGGAGCCCCCGACCCCAGCCTCCACCCCTGGGCAGTGCGGGGCACCCCACGCGGCCCCCGCGTCCGGCTCCAGCCAGCGGAGTCCGCGGCTTCACCTTCCTCCTCCACCGCAGCCTCCTCCTCCGCAGCCTCCTCTTCTGGAAGGAGCAGAGACCAGAAGCCGTTAGGAGGGAGCCCAGGGGCGCCGGGGTGGGGTGGGGGTGGGGCGGAGGCCAAGGTTCGAGCCTCGGCGGGGACGGGGACCCCCCTGGACCTCAGTGGCAGGTGGGCACAGCGAGCTTTCTCCACCGGCTGGGCGCAGACTGCGCTGGGAAACGCTCAGGAAACCCGGGAGGACAGGGTCAAGGTGGGGGTCAGGGTGAGGGGGGCCCGCCCGCCTCTCTGAACAGCCCCTCCCAAGAGATCGCGTGGGGTCCACACTCCCCCCTCCCCAGGCCAGCGCACACCCCACTCACCTTCGGGCTGCTCCCTGAGGACGGGGGTGCGGGAGAAAGAGTGGAGAGAGAGTTAGACGCACGGGGGTGCGGTGGGAAGGGTCTCCCCCTCCCCAGGCCCCTAGTCCTCCGGCCAGCAACACTCACTCCTCACATTCCTGCTCTTCGGCGTCCGACATCTTGGTGCGACCTGAGGACCACAGAAAACAGGGGGAGTGGGGTGGGGCCCCCAAGGAGGTGGGTCTGAGGGAGGAGGGAGCCCAACTCCTAAGCCACGTGAGGACTGGCCTTTGGGAGGTGCTGTCCAGGCAGAGCCCCAGAGCTGGGGCTCCCACCCCCCACTCCAGCTGTCCTCTTTTGTCTTATGACACGTCCGTGGGAACCTGATCCGAGTCGGATTAGGAGAAGTATTTGGGAACCCGCCCGAGGTCTGAAGACAATAGCTGCCCCACCCCCCAGGGGCTATTTCGGGGGGATGTCACGGAGAGCAAAACAGAGGACATCTCCTAAAAAGGGACTCAAGGAGGGGGGGCCTTCTGGAAGAATTAGCCACACCTGTTCCCCTCTCCTGCCCCCAGATGCCCCCCTCCCCTCTGGCTGGGTGTCCCCCCACCTGTCTCTTTTCACCTTCACCCACAGCCAGGGAGGAGGCAGGCCCCATCCTCACTCCTACGTAGACCCCCCAATGTCTCACATCCCCCAGGCCCTGTACCCCCAAATCCCAACACCCACAAGACCTCGAAACGCCCAATTTAAGATGCACCAACGAATCCTCATTCCAGATTCTGAGACACCGGTCGAGAACCCAGGTCTGGACACCCCCTAACATCTGAAACCTCAAGATCACGAGACCCCGAAACTGGATGCCCAAACTCAGAGGCCCCAATCCTAATACCCCAAATTGTGGCGCTACAAGTTCTCACACCTCCAATCGCAAAACAGCAGATCCTGAGTCCTCAATTCCCTGAACTCCTGATTCTGACCCCCAAGCTCTGAAATCCAAACTATCGGACATCCAAGTCTAGACACCCCCCAATCTTTGAGATTTCCTGATTGTCAGGCTTCTGAGGTCCTCAGGTTTTACATATTCTGCAACACCCAAATCCAGACACCCCCATTTGTGGTAACCCCCAAGTCCTCACACCCCTCCTGTCTCCCACCCCACCTCACACCGGGGAGATCACAGCCCTTACCTAAGGCTGGGTCTGCAGAGGCGTGAACGTGCTGGGCAGCTGAAGCAGCCCTGGGTTTATAGTGGAGTTTGGCCCCGCCCCGGAGGAGAGGGGGTGGAGAATTCCTTTCCCCAAACGCTAGTCCCGGAGCAAAGGGCCCTGCTTCCACCCCGGCTCCACGTACAGGATCCGGGCAGCTCCTGGCTGCTGCGACCCCCTTCCCCAGCCATCAGTACCTCCCAGGAGCCCCCAGCTGGGTCAGGCAACCCCCGTGCCCACCGCCTGCCTACAGCACATGGCACTCTATGCTTTGAAGTCCTGGGCTTCGCACACACAGGGCCTTGGATAATGCTTATTGGTGACAGGGGGACAAAAGATGTTTTCTCTCTCCAAGGCTCTGGCCTTCCTTTGTATGTCTGTCTGGGCGTCTCTCACTCATACTTTCTCTCTTTCTCCTTTGCCTCTGTGACTCGTCCCTGGCTGTCTCTGCCTGTGTCTCTCTCTGTCCCTCTTTCTGTCACTCTCTCCCCACCCCCACCCTTTGTCTGCCACCAGGATTCCACCCTGGTGACAACAGGCGCTAAAGCAGGGAAGCAGGTGTGTGTTGGGGGGGGAGGAGAGAGGGTGGGGGTCAGGCCTGCATGACCTTACCCCCCACACACACACACACAGACACACCTCCATCTGACACGGATCTTTTTTTGGTATCTCTCTCCCTCTTTCCTTGCTAAAGCCAGGAACTTGACCTCGCAGGGGGCCAGCCCTGGAGAGGAACTCCTCACCCCGGCATGCCTTCTGGTGCCTCTCTCTTGGTCTCTTTCTTTCACTATGTGCCATTTTCTCTATGTCTGTTGCTAGGCATTTCTCTGGGTTTCCATTCGGGTCTCTGTTTGGGTCTCTCTCTGGGTTTCTGTGTTCTTCACTCAACATGTCTCTCTGCATATTCTTTTTTTTTTTATAGATTTTATTTACTTGCTTTTAGAGAGAGGGAAAGGGAAGGAGACAGAGAGGGAGAGAAACATCGTTGTGTGAAACAGTTGCCTCTCACACGCCTCCAACTGGGGACCTGGCCCACAACCCAGGCATGCGCCCTGACTGGGAATTGAACCGGTGACCTTTTGGTTTGCAGTCCAGCGCTCAACCCACGGAGCCACACCAGCCAGGGTTCTCCGCATGTTCTTGTCTATGCATTTCTGTGTGTTTCCCTGCATATCCGCCTCTCTCGGTGCCTGTCTTGGGGGCTCCCATGTGTCTGTGACCCTGTATCTGTCTCTGCGTCTCTACCTTTTTAGCTCTTTCTGGTTCCTTCTCTGCATCCCTGCAGTTAACCCTCCATGAATCCTCATTTCTGTCTCCATTGTCATCTTTGTCTCACTGCACGGATCTCTCTCCGGTTCTGCTTACTTTGCACATCTTTCCCCTCTGAATCTGTCTTTTCCCCTCTCCCTCCGGGTCTCCATGTGTCTCTCTCTCCCTGGGTGCCTGACTCAGTCTTTGTCTGTACCTCTGGGTGACCCTTGAGGCCTCCATCTCAGCATCCCTGTGCCCCCCATGTAAGAAAGAGAAGCCAAGAACACCCCGGATTGGAGAACCCAGATCTGCTCCTGATGTGCGGTGTGACTTTGGGGACCCCGGCCCTCAATCCTCCCACCTCTCACCCCCAAGCTCCCCAGGTAGTAAACACGCGGCCACTCCCAGCTCAGACACACACTTTATTCCTCAAGGCACGGGGAAGGCTGGCTCAGCCCTCAAACTTCTTCTTGCGGCCTTCCATTCCACTCAGCGCGTCGATGTTCTTGCGCCAGTCTCCCACCTCCCGGTTTTCCTGCGGAAATGGGGCCAGAGGTTAGAGTGTGTTCCCTCAAATATCCCCTGCCCGCCTTCCGGCCTGCTGGACTGCTCTGTTCTGGATCTGTGCCCAAGGATCTGGTTCTGGAATACTTCCTGCCCCCGCAACAATCCTGTCCAATTTGCCCCATGCGCTTCCTGTCTCCCTCTTGCACTTCCTGTCTCCCTCCTGCACTTCCTGTCTCCCTCTTGCACTTCCTGTAACCTGACTCCAGGCTACTTCCTTTCTCCTAATACACTTCTAGTCTTCCCCTTCTACTTCCTGTCCTCTTGTTGCACTTCCTGTGCCCCCATCCTATACTTCCCTTTGAGGATTCCTCACCAAATTCTTCTCCCCCAAATTCCACACCTCATCTGCCCTGAGGCTAGGCCCTGGGAATATTGCCCCCACCCCCTCTCTCCTCTAAGCACCCCCTTTCCTGGCCCAGCCACACTTACCTTCTCTGTGTCCTCCTTCTTCACCTGCTTGAGGTGGGCCCGCAGGTCTAAGGTCTCCTTAGCCCTGGTCCCCAGCAGGGCCTGCATCATGGCATCTGCAGAGATGCGCACCCTCCGCAGGGTGGGCCGCTTGAACTTGCCCCGGAGGTCAAAGATCTTCTGGTTTAGATCTGCGATCTGGGGTAGGAGAGCATACAGGGAGGAGGAGTCTTCTGTCTCCACTCCCCCCTTGCCTCACTCTCCCACCCTCCACTGCCCTCCTGTCCCCACCCAGGTCTCCCCCAGGCTTTTCCCACCTCAGGCTCCCACTCCTCATCTGGGACAAACTCCAAGCTCCTCCTCCTCAGCTGCACACCCTCCTCAATCTGCCCCAGCCTCATCCCTCTGAAAACCACCCACAAATCCCTGTCCAGGTAACCTGCACCTCACAGTTCCCCGTCCATGCCCGAGCTCACTTACCAACCCTTGACGCTGCAGCCACACAGTTTCACACACATACTCCCTGCTGCCCCACCTCCCTCTGCCTGGCACAGCCTTGCCAGGCATTATGGTCATCTTCCGTCCGCCTGAGCCCTGGTGGACTCACGGAGTTGACCTCGGCCCCCTGGGATCTTCAACCTCAAGCAGCTGCAAGGGGCCAGGCTGAGACCACAGCCCCAGGCATTGCACCCTACCCCGAAGGGACCCAGAACGACCCCCACCTCGGTCACATTCTTGGTAACTTTTGCCTCCACGTCGTATCTCTCCTCATCCACCTTGTCGACGCGGGCATGGAGCTGTCGGCACAAGTCCTGGCAAAGAAACATGGCGTGGGTGGCAGGGGAAGCCCCGGACCGGACCCGTGCTTCTGAGGGAGGTGGGGCCGGCTGGGGACCTGGATTTCAATCTGGTCCTGAAGGAGGCTGAAGCTGGACTCTGGGGAACTGCGAACCAAGCAGAACTCCAGGGCCAGGAACCCTGAGAATCAACAGAATTAGAAATGGAGAAACCGACCTCTGGGTTTTGAGACTGTAAGTAGCTTGCAGGCCATATATTTGAGTGTATGAAGGTAACCAGTGGGAGATTGAACCCCAAAAGTCCTGAGCAGAAGGGGACGAAGAGTGACGGTACCTGAGACCCAAGGATGCAAGACTGAACATAGAAACCCAGGACACCCCAGACTGGACAGGAGACCGCTGTTAGAGCTGGTACCTGTAGCTCCTCAAAGCCCAACCCGGCCAACTCCAGGGGCTGGCACCGCGTGCTCAGAGCGCGCCCCTTCTCTCCGCGCCGCTCCTCTGCCTCCCGCTCCAGCTCCTGCTTGGCTATCTGCAGCATCAGGGTCTGCAGAGGGGAGGCCGAACCGCAGGCCACGTTGCCGGGATGAGATCCAGTAGTAGGGGTCTGCCCCCACCCCAGTTATCTCCTAACTCCAGACACCGTTTTTGGTCTTCCAGAGTCCCACCCCCTCAGGGTCCACCATTCCGAGGCCCCGCCCTGCCACTGAGGGGCTCCCGCCCCCTCCCCCCCCCCCGCCCCCCAACCCAACATTCCAAGTCTCATCCACTCGCACAACCGAAGCCTCATCCCTACTTTGAAGCTCCGCCCCCCCAAGAACACCGAGACTCCCTCACCTTCAATTGCAGTTTTCTCGAGGCGGAGATCTTAGACTTTTTCTGCCAGCATGAGATGGAGAGAGGAAGGAGGAAGGGGGGTGGAACTCAAAGGTGGGTAGAGGGAAGGGCTTCAGAACCCGCCACCTTGAACTTGGTGGAGATTTGAGCCCGCCTCCAACTCTGAACCTCAGTGTGGGAGGCCACGCCCCTCGGTCCCATCCACCAATCTGGGCCCTGGACTCTGACTAGACACCGCCCACCGCCTCTTAAGCAATTGCTAGTCCAAACCGGGTCCAGAGCGAAACCCCGCCCCTTAACCCCTATCATTTGCTTAGGCTCCACCCATGACCCAAACCCCGCCCCATTACGGCCATGGCTCCACCCCTTTACCCCAAGGTGCAGGGTAAACCAGGACTCTGAATCCGGTCCCTGCCTGGGCCCTGCGCACAGCGCTGGCCCCACCCTCACCTTGGCGTGGGGCTCAGTGGCATAGGCGCGGTAGTTGGCAGAGGACCGGCGTCGAACCGGGGCTGGGCGCGGTTCCCCCTGAGGTTGGGGGGACGGAGCCACATCACCACCAGAACCCTCCGTGACCTCTGTCCGTGACCTCTTCTAGGGCTGCAGCCTCCCGCCCCAGAGCCCTCCCTGCAGCGCCCTCCCTGCGCCTGCTCTCACCGCATCGCCGCTCCTGGAGGGAGAGAAAAAGGCAGTTAATGTTGGGCCTGTGGCCTCTCCAGTCTGTCTCCAAAGGGACCCCAGAGGCCCCTCTGACCACGAGGTCTGGTCTCCCCACCTTCCCCGTCCAGGGTCCTAGGAGTCTGATTCCAAACACTTGCTCCATCCCGTCACCCAGGAGCCTGTCCCACCTCCTTTCTCAGGACAGGCTCCAGCCTCGCAGCTCTCACCCTGGAGGAAATCCCCCACCTTCCTCCAGCCCCGGGAGACCCCGGTTCCCAGCTTCACTCACTCGTCTGCCATGCTGAGGTAGCAGACCGGAGACAGAGAAGGGACAAGAAACTCAGGGAGTCAATGAGGGGACGCCCGTCCGGGGTGACCTTGAAAGCCCCAGGGACTTCAGCCTGGTACGGACTGCCGAAGCCTCACTGAGGACACTGATAAAGGACGAAGGCAGAGACTAAATATACTGCTGCCCCCTCCTCCCACTGCCCAGGATGCGAGATAACGGGGGCGCGTGAGGGGTGGGGCGGGCGGTGCTCCAGCTGGATCACCCCTCCACAGTGCAGGACTCGGAGTTGGGCCCTTTCACTGCGTCCTAGGAGTCCTGGACCCCCAGACCCACGGGTCCAGGCCCCCAGCCCCTCCCCCCTCATACCCAAGAGTCCAGGCCCCCAGCCCCTCCTCCCTCAGACCCAGGGGGCCAGGCCCCCAGCCAGTTCTCCCTCAGACCCCAGAGTCCAAGCCTCATCCCCTCACTAAACCGCAAGCTCCATGAGAGCTGGAACTTTGTCTGTCTTATTCATCACCTTATGGTGAGTTTCTGGGCCCCAAACCGGTTATCCACTGAATAAATTTTGTTGCTTTATTTGAAGATCCAGGTAGCGGGGTGCTCGGGCCCTCAGGTGACATCCCTGGCGAATCCACTCGTAGTCCACTTGGAAAACCAGAAATCTGGTCTTGGCTCTCCTCTCTTGACCTCTCCTGGCCCCTCCCCGCTCCTGGCCTTGGAGATGGACTGAGGACAGGACACAAGGACGCAGAGAAAAGGACGCAGAGAAGAAGACACCACCATCTTTATTTGGACCGCAGGGGTGCTGGCCGGCCCTGAGAGAGGAGACATCCCCCACACCCAGGGGGGAATGGGACACCTGGGGACCACGCAGAGGACCTGAGTCCTGGGCCGGACCTCGAGTCTGCGTTTGGAGTCTCGGGAGTGGGTAGAAATCTGAGAAACCCACCTAGAATTCTAGGGACAGAACAGAGAATCTCAGAAATGGCATGTAAACATGGAGCAACACCTCTGGGGAAGAGTAAAAACGCGGAGGTTGCAGACAGAGAAGGGTTCTAATTCCCAGACCTGACTTGAGAAGTTAAGAGACGGGGGATGTAATCTCGGATGGTCCAGGCAGACTCTCCGGTTTTGGGGTCTGACTGCCCGTGGGCGGAGCCAAAGCCTCCAGTGAAGCCTGAGACTCCGTGGGCAGTTGCAGGGGTTCAGAGAGTGGGGTGTGACCCCGCAGGGGCTGGGCCAGATCTTCAGAGGGAGGATTTGTTGCTTCGGAGGGCGGGACCAGTAACTCAGGGGGCGGGGCCAGGATTTTAGAGCCCGGAATCCCGGAATCCACCGCAGCCTCTACTGGAGCAGAGTCCTCAGACTTGCAGAAGCGTGCGAAGCTCTCCGAGGGTCTGGCCCCGGGCTGTGGGGCGAATCCAGCTGCCCCAGCCAGTTCCCCAACCCGGTCACAGAACTCCTGAAGCTGCTCCTGCCTCACGTCCACAAGGTACCTGAAATCCAGAAGTGTCGTGTGAGGAGGGGTCCCGGCTGTCAGTCCCTGCCCTGGTTCCCTGCCCTGCGCTCCGCTGGCTCGCTCACCGGGCTAATTCCACAATCAGGCTTCCTCCAGGGGCCACGCAGGCCCCGAGCTCAGGACCGAGAAGGTGAACCATCCTGCAGAGAGAAGGGAGGAGTGAGGCTCAGACTTGCAGGTCTTGAGGGAGGAGGAGCTGGAGACTGAAACGCTGATTGAGGAGGGCCTGGAGGCCTGGAGGCCTGGAGGCCTGGAGGCCTGGAGGCCTGGGGCTGAGGAAGGGAAGCCTAGGCCACCCCAGGAACTCTTACCCACAGGCCACGTAGAGAAGCTGGAACCGACCCTTGTAGCAGCTCTTGTGGTGGAGGGCCTGGGCAGCACCGAGGGGCAGGAAGTGGACAGTGAAGGACCCCGGACTGCGGGCCGCTGGGGAAGACCAGCACAGTTAGTTTGGCAGACGCAGAAAGCCCATAGATAACAGTTCTCGGCCTCTTGAAGCCCTTTCTCATCCTTTCTTTCCGGTGGATTGCTGGGAAATTCTGCGGTGGTCCCTCTGGTAGGCAGAAACACATTTTACAGTCCAGGGGACTGAGACTCAAGAGAGGGAGAGAAAGTGGTCCATGGCCAGACAGGGCATCCAGACACGGGGGAGGACCAGGTTTGGGGATGCTTAGAAAGAGGCAGGACCAGCCCTGTCTGGTGTGGCTCGGTGGATTGAGCACCAGCCTGTGAACCAAAGGGCTGCCGGTTCAATTCCCAGTCAGGGCATATGCCTGGGTTTCTGGCCAGGTCCCCAGTAGGGGGTGCACAAGAGGCAACTGCGCATGGATGTTTCTTTCCCTCTGTTTCTCCCTCCCTCCCCCTCTCTCTAAAACATAAATAAAAAGTAAATTAAAAAGAGACAGAGAAGCACGACCAGATTTGGGAAGAGGGGTTTTCCTTCCAAAAGTGACTCAGCACCGTGTTAGAATGTTCTTAGCCGCTTAGCCCTTCTGCAGGTAGGATCTGAATTCTAGCACTGGAATTAAGAATTCTAAGAATGTTGTCAGGACTTAGGAAAGGGAGAGATCTACAAAGAAAGGAGAGCGAAAGAGATGATGGACTGTCAGGAAGGGCGCTCACTCGTCCAGGCAGTGGGAGCCAAATCGGCCCGCGCTGGTACTTGAAACACCGGGACCCTGAAACCCAGGACAGTGTCTGGGTCCCACTCGCTCCCAGGAGATGATGTGTCCATTGCATTACCCGAGCATGGTCTCCAGCTCAACGGGGGAGAGCTGAGTCCCTCGCCTACCAGGCTCCGGAGTTGCCTTTGCGTCGCTGGCAACCTCATCGGGGTCTCCTCGGGCGGCGCTCGGGTGCCCCCAGGCGGCCATGGCTTGGAACAGCTCTGTCACATTGTGCTGTGTGATTTCGCCTGCAGTCTGGGGGGGAAGGGGCGTGGCCGGACTCTGGGTTAAAACCTAGGTGGTGGTGCGCGTAACATGCCATCCTTTGCGCCCCCCAATCCCCAGAGCTTGCTTCTGAGAGGCAAGCCTGGATTCCCAGGCTTGGAACTGAGTGTAGGTAGTAGAGATGGGTGGGGCCTAGCCCGTGGAGGCAAAGCCCAGAAGTTTGTGGGCGGGGCCTGGAATGCAGAAGGCGGGGCCTTGCGAACACAGCCTGGTACCGCTCACCTTGACCGGCTGCCCATTGCTGGTCCGCAGGAGGCTCTCGTCGTCCGTTTCAAGGCCGAAGGCTACGAAGGGCCCCGTGGCGATGTCCCCCCAGTACCCTCGCGCTGCCACGCGCTCCCCACGCTAGAAAAGTAGGGAGAGAGGAGACGGGTGAGGTTGACCTTGGGGACCCAAGTTCCTGGGTCCCCCCCAAAGAAGGAGATGGCCAGGTCAGGGAATGGACACGCACGTGGCTCAGAAGGCGCCCGGACGCCAGAGTCCGGTTAGGCAACTGGTAAGCGCTGGAATCTCTGAGTTCAAAGGCGATGCCTGTGTCCCTCCAGCGCCTGAACTCGCAGATGTGGATGACTCGGGCCTGGGGCGGGGTGGGAAGAAGAGAGGTTTCCGTGAACACTGTACAGGGGCCCCCGGCCCTGCCTCCTTCACGCCCAGGACTGGGCCTGCCCCAGCCCGCTCACCCCACGGTCATGAAGCTTCATGTGCAGGTCCCAGTCGCTGACACCACGCCGGGCGTCGTAGCGGGAGCCCAGGTAGTGGCGCAGCCTCATGTCCCACAGGCGGCTCATGGGGAAGGTCTCGGGCCCCTTCTCGCCGCCGGCCCAGAAGCGGAACACGGCTTCCAGGGCGTCACGCTCACGGAACTGCGCATCCAGCCACGCGTGGGGAGAGGCCGAGGGAAATGGGCTGCAGGGAGAGCAGCCTTTCCTCCTTGACCCCCCCCTTCCAACCCAGGGTGTGGGCACGATTCTCCCGATTCTCAGGTGAAGAAATTGAGGCTCAGAGAGTAGAAGCTCCCCTCCCCCCCCCCAGGCCAAATCCCGCACTGGGAACTGGGAGCTGCGCTTCAAACACCTGCGCCCCCAGCCCACTTTCATCAATGCAAACCCTTTTCGACCGCCCATCTCCATTCTTCCGGTGGCCACCCAGATCCCAGGCAGTGATGGACGGATGGACAGAGGCCAGGCGGAGGCACCTTCAGGGCTCCCAGGCTGAGCCAGGGCAGCTGCTCCGCCAGGAGGTCCGGCTCCGGAACCAGGTGTGCCAGGCGTTCGGCCTGGGCGCGCACGAAGGCGGCCACCGAGGGGCGCAGCAGCGCGTTCCCCCACACTTCCAGGAAGACCTCGGTCCTCTCTGTGGGGAGGGAGGAGAAAAGTAGGGAGGGGAAGCAGAGGAGTGAGCCCAGAAATGAGACCAGTGTTTCATGCCCTGTTTATAGAACGACCCAGTCTATATAACACATGCCTTCTTTATAGAATTTTATCATTGGTCATAATAAGCACAACGGACCCAATAATAAGCAAACTCTCCACCCAACCCAACAGCTAGAATGCGAAGCATAATTTACATCTCACCTAGGTCTCCCTGCTTATTCCTTTTCCCCCCTCCCAGGTAACCCCAATCCTGAATTGCACGTTTACATTCCCCTTGCCTTAAAAAAAAAAAAAAAGTTCTGCCCTGGCTGGTGTAGCTCAGTGGATTGAGTGCAGGCCTGAGAACCAAAGGATCGAGGTTCGATTCCCAGTCAGGGCACATGCCTGGGTTGCAGGCCAGTTCCCAGTGGGGGACACATGAGAAGCAACCATACATTGATATTTCTCTCCCTTTCTCCTCCCTTTCTCTTCTAAAGATAAATGAATAAAATCTTAAAAGACAAAAAAAGAAAAGGTTAAATGGCAACCACTGTACTTGAACAATGATTTTTTTAGTTTTCAAAAAAGAAAGAAGCTTATAAAGATGAAGATAAATACGTGTGAAAATGTTATAGTATAAATTGCTTTATTTTAGGTAAGGTTCTTATAAAAAAACTATACATTTCAGTTGTATACACATACATCTATATCAATATATCTCTATAAGTGGTTTCATCTTATTTGTTTAAGAACCTTAGATAAGACAACTCTATACCTTTAGCTCAATAGATACGAATAGGAGTAGTTATATACAAAGTGCACTGTAAATTGTGTGCAGTGTATTATGAATGTCCTGGGCTATTAATGACAGCCGCCGTCCATAATAATGATAACAATTGCTAAGATGTACCGAGTCTCTAACAGAAGCCTAGAGCTATGCGTTTTTTCCTTTCACTGAGTCCTTGAAAAGCACAATACTCTGTGGAGCAAAAAACTTTCAGGATCTCCACTTCACAAATGTAGGAACTGAGGCCCAGAAAGGGGTAGATGCTGGCCCAGAGTCACAAAGCCAGCAGAGCCAGAATTTGAACGCAGCTTATCCGAGTCCAGACTTTGTTCTACCGACTAAGCTGAAATTGTTACTGGGAAATAATCACTTTCTGCCACCCCACCCATCCTCCTTTTCCCACTTCTTTTTTCAGTCTCATTTCTGAGGCTGCCTCCTCCAGGCTGGCTTCCTGGGAGTCACACCTCTCACTGTGGGAGGCTTGGGGCAGGACTGAGCTTAGCTCAGCCGAACCCTCCCCACATCTGGGGACTCACTGTCTCTCAGGAAGCCCCCTGATCTCTTTTGGACTCCTCCTGTAGCAGGTTTTGAATGCTAGCACTATTCTGAGAGTTTTGTGTGTATTTTTTCTTGGAATTCTCTCAAGTGAGTGAGCAAATGATAAAAGAGGGAACCATGTCCACAGTTTTTCCATTCACGACTGAAAAACCAAAATCCCTGCAGGGATGAGGAGGGGACTGGGGACCGGAATGCCCTGGTCCTTGCGGCTGACCTTGCAGCCCCATCTTCTCAGGATCCTCCAGGGCTAGGCTGAAGAACAGCATGTGTCGGGCCACAGCTTCCAGATTATTCTCCAGCACGTAGAACTGGAAGGATGGACAGGGCAGAATGACTCTGAGATCTGTGTCTCTGGCTCCTAGGAGACTCAGGAGTGGGAGACAGGACCCACGAGTTGTGTACACCAGCCCCCACCACTTCAAACACAGGCGTCTGGGCTCTCAGAAGCCTCCTCCCCGACACTACTTAGGACTGTCCATAGTTTTTTTTTCTCCACTTGAATCTAGGAACCCTCAACCCCAGACACTTCCTTCATCAGGACACATAGACGGAGGCTCACGTGGAACTTCCTGCGAGGCCAGAGCGCTGCCCGGGCCAGGGTTCGTAGCAGATGGCGCCCATCCACGGAACCCAGCAGCAGCACATCTAGCTCGGGGGCCCCGTGCTCCGTACTGGCCTGCGAATCTGGGGCCATAGGAGGACCTGACAAGGCGAGAACAGGCTGAGGCTGTGGCCTGAAGAACGCCCTCTGAAGCCGTTCCCAGCACGAGGGACTACAACCCCCAGCAGGACTTGCAACTCCAAGGTTCCACAAGGAGCTGTGCCTCTAAGCATTCTGGGATTCGTAGTTCTTGGAGAGGCACCTGAGCTGCCCACTTGGGGGAGTCCCCCCGCCGTTGGAGCCTCGGAGAACGTTAGCGCACCATCTGTCAGGCTGTGACGGTAGCCGCTGTGACAGATGTGGTCCTGGGGCGGGGGACTCACACTCAGCCTGCAGATCCAGCGCCGGAGACAGACCCCACCAGGACACAGAGCCGAAGCCCGCCCCCGAGCCTGCCGGTGTGGTCATCGTCCTGCGGGACAGGCATCCAGGGAATCCCCAAATATCATCTCTGCTTCGCCCACCCATTCCCTTAACACCGTCCCTGACGTCTCCCCCCTTTCCTCTAGGTAACACACCCCCTCACCTTTATCCTCCCCAAATATGCTGGGTGCTGTGCAGTTGTCCGGCTCCCACCCTACGACTGCTGCCCATAAACCCCGCCCTTTTTATCAATCAGCCAATGGGAATATGGGAGCCGGTACCGACACTATCAATTCACCAATGTGAGGAGCGGAACCCGCCCACTTCAAACTTTTGGCCAATGGGACTACCCTGGCCTAGGAGAAAGGAAGGCGTGAGGACGCGGTTGTCATGACGACGATGCCGAAAAAGGCTGGGACAGAGCCTGGGGACGTCCAAATTTCTGGGATGGATGAAACCTGGGCCAATTCAAAACTAGAAAAACCTGAACGGAATCTTGACTAGTCCAAGTTAAAGTGAAGTGGCCTAGACTTAAAAAATATATATATGTTTGTGTCTCCTTTCTCTCTTCACACCCTGACTCTACCACGCAGGGCTTCTCACCTGGCAGGAATGTGTTACCGCCAGCCATAACTGGGCCCTAGTTGGTAAATCCTCAGGAATTTTGTGACCTGAGTATTACACGTAGTCACTAATAAAAATCAATGCTTTTACTAAATTACTAAAATTAAATTTCAATTAAATGCATTGCATTAAAGGTAATACTCAAAACTCATCACTTATTATACTATATTTTACTATTATGTCTTAAGACTGTACCTGTATAAATACCGTTTTAATACAATAGTTAAAAAAATTAAATTGGCAAATTGTGACCACAAGCTATCGTGGTAGATAAAGTTTTATTAAAACCAGGGCTGGGATTAGGATGAGGCACAGTGGTCCAAGTGCAAGGTCAGTTCCTGTCTTTAAATTTTTTAATATTTTATTCATTGTAGACTTCATTAAATTTTTGTAAATATGGCATTAAATATTATTTAGCTTGACTATTGAGTGGTTTTGTGGGGGGGTTGCTTGTTGGTTCTTTGGCTTTGCCTTAAATTTTAGGATCAATATCCTTGTAAGCACTAGATGTTGGTGTGCTAGTGAATATTCTTCTCAATTCTATATTTGATGACTTCACATTGGAGACCTGAAATCAGCCTCAATGGGAGAATTTACACCACGGAAATGGGCAAACTACACAAAGTCGGTCACAGCACAACACAGGAAGCGCTGAAGTCCTTTCCTGCCTCGTGGACTGTATTCTTTGCTTGTAACATCCTCCCCCATCCTCCCGGAAGAATCCCGCTCATCCTTTCAATTCCTGCTAGGGACTGTCCTCTGAATTCTGCTCCTTCCTGTCCAACTGAAAGGCCACAACAGTCCACCCTGTGACGCCCACTACTTCACATTCGAGACGGCATGATGCTTGACAATGTGGCTTTTGGTGTCAGCCATGCCTGGGTTTACGTGTTGTTCGGTCCCTTGCTGGCTGAGAGGCCTTGGCCAGGTGAGAACCTGTCTATGAGTTCGACAAAGTCAGGTCAGCTCCCGCATCCAGCACCCAAGAAGCCTGGGCTCTCTGCCTCCTCTCCTCTAGATGACCTTAGACAAGTCATGATCAATTCCCAAATAAGTAAGCAAATTCTCATTGATTCCTCACAGTCCTCAGAGGGGTGAGGGAATGAGTAAGTGAAAAAAATGAATGGACAGATGAGTGGGTGGGTGAGAGGGCGTTTCCCTTAGTACATTTCGAAGATGGACAGCACTACCCCTGCCCTTGTGGGATCACACCCCTGAAAGTGAAGCCACCTCTTGGGCTCCAGTCCTTGCCTCTGCCCCCTCCCCCAATAAGGAGCACCCAGCCAGGCCACCAAAGTTGCTGAGTATTTATTTGCCCCCAGGAGCCACTGGAATGAGACTGGGGACAGGGTTGTGATCCTGTGTAGGGCAAAGGGGACAGTCTGAGGGGATTACTGATTGTCAAAGCAGAGGGTGGGACCGTGGGTGGGTTGGGGGAAGGCCAAACTGCTCTGCTCCTCCAGGGGCCCTGGGGCTTCTGGGTATGTGTGGTGGGGAATTTGGCAAGTTATCATGATCGGTATAATGGGGTGAGGAGGCAGGAATGGGCCCAATGGCTTCGGTGGAGGGGTAAGGGTGGGGGTTCGTGCTCAGAGAACGCTTAAAGGTGGGCCTGGGCAGGGCTTTGGCCAGAAGTCTGGGGTCAGGGGCTTTAGGGTGGGATCAGGGCACAGGCAGTGGCCTCACTCGGTCAGGGGGCCGCAGCGAGTGCCACTGGGCAATGGGCCGCCGCGGGTTGGCCAGCATGTCTGCCCAGTGCCGGAGGCCAGCCCCGCCGACCGCTGCCCCTACAGCCACCCTCCCGATGGCCTCGTTCTTGCCAAGCTTGTCGTAGTCCAGCACGGTCAGCTCCACCTGCACCTTCTGGGGTGGGCAGAAGGGGAGACAGGAGTGTGGGGCACAGTGGCACCAGGAGGGACTCGAGTAGCGTTGCCAAGGACAGTCCCTCCCTCCGTGAGTCCTGGGGGCCCTTGTAGGGTCCTGGGGCGGGGGGGGGGATACTGAGAACTGAAGGGGGAGAGCCCTGCAGTTGGACACGGGCTCTGCAACGTTTCCTCCTCCCTGATCAGATTCCGCAGGCGAGAAACACTTCGGATCCCATCGCTAAGGGGTTGTTAGGGGCCTCCTTAGGTCGCAGCCTCCTACGGGGGACTAACCTCCAGGACTCTTCAATGAGTAGAGGGACCTGTCCCTCAAGGGTTGTGGACTAGTCTCTTTTTCTTAGTAACCAAGGCTCCTGAGGGGGCGGGGCACCCTGGCCTTGCCTAGGGGGCAGGGTAACCTGCTTCTCCTAAAAGGAAATTGGAAACACAACATGATAACCGCAGGCCCTGGTTTCCGGAGGTTGCTGAAAAGTCTCCTTTCCTCTAGCAACGGGGTTTCTAAGGGGCCGGGGCTGTTCTGGAGGGGCTCAGGGCAGGTCTAGCTCACCTGGACCTGGTCACAGGGCACCTCGAAGCTGAAGGCCTCGTTGTAATAGGGATTCAGGGTGTTCTTCTTGATGGTCGTTTTCTTTTTCCGCACCTTTTTGCCTCCCTGCAGCAGGTGGACCTTGACATAGGGATCTGGGGAGAGAGAGGAGCTGTCTTAGAGCTCCCCCACTGCTTGGTAGGGGGATCGGATGGAGGAGGATACAGAGACTTCTTTGGAACAACACAGAGATGCCCCATGCACCCTTCAGGTCTCCTCTCTCTGCGCCCAAATTGAATCTATAGCCTCCCGTGAAAGCCTGGGCCTCCCTCCCCCAAGATGCCCTCTGGCAGCCTGGACCTAACCTCTCCCCTGAGAGACCCTCTGGGCCCAGAGATGGTCAGCCTTAGCCAGAGGACCACCCTGCACCGCCACCACCATTTCCTTGCTTTCCACACCTGACAGCCCTCCTACGTCCATCTTCTTCAGGTTTTTAGCCTCCAGGACGATGACGGTGAGTTTTCCAGCAGTGGGGACATAGCGGAGGGAGAAGCAGATGTCCCCTAGTTTCTCCTGCTAAAAGACAAAGAGGGACCTATTACCCGAGCCCCCACTGCACATCCATCCCCTCTGCGGTCTTTCTGCCCTTCCCCCTCGTCTTGGAATGGAAAGATCCGAAGTTAACACCAGGACAGTCCTCAGAGGTTTTACTCTGAAGCAAGTGGAAGAGCTAGAGACCGGCAGGGGTTGAGCTGGGGTTGAGGGGCGGGGTGTCCGAGAGGCCTGTGATCTGATTGGCTCTGGCTTGCGGTGGGCGGACCCGCCGCGGGAGCGCGGCCGTACGTGCTCACCTCCTCCCGCGGAGCAGCCTGTAGCTCCCGCCAGGCCAGCACTGGTCTCCCCAGGTCCACGGAGCTCATGGGGATCCGGACCTCCCCGATGGCATCGTTGCGGGAGAAGCGGTCGAAGTCGTACACCGCCATGACCAGTACCCTGCCTCCCAGCTCCACGTAGGGCACCTGGGTGGGGGAGCGCAGAGAGAGCACAGGTGAAAAAAAAAAAGTGAGACACAGCACATCAGGGTGGAAGGCGACTCGTGGGGCAGCGAGGGGCCCAGGGGACCCAAGTGGGACAACCCCGAACCAAGAGGACAGCTCAGGGGTCAGTAGTGCCAAAAGGGACAACTCAAGGGCCCGTGGGATAGTCTCCAGAGCTGGGAGCTGCCTCCAGCAAAATTGGAAGGGGTCGCCCCCCCAACCCGTGTCCCGGGGACTGGGGGCAGGCTGCCGAGTGCGGGGCCCTGAGGAGGCCAGGTGCTCACCTTGAAGGCAAAGGTCTCCTCAAAGTGCGGGTTCAGTGTCTGCCGATGCACCTTGGTCTCGTGCCGCCTCCGCTTGTCGGGCAGCAGGTAAACCCGCACATACGGGTCTGAAGAGCCACCCAGATCCAAGGCAGCCAAACCCTCAGCTTGCAGGACGCCCACCAGCAGCTGTGCAGTGAAGAGGGACCCCTAGTCTTAGCTTAGTTTTTGGACCCTCCTGGGAGCCTCCCCTCCGAAGCCTCCCCCCTCCTCCACGCCCACCTGGCCAGTCTGGAAATCATAATCCAGCGAGTACTGCAGTCTTCCTAGCTCGTGCTTCTCTGCCACCTGCTGCTGCCCGGGCCCCGACAGGGTCGGCTCCAGCTCTTCCACTTCCGGTTGCACCTGAGGGAGCCAGGACAAGGGCGGGTGAACTCTTCCCCTGAGAGTGTTATCCTCCAGGCATAGAAGCCAAAGGACACTCTCACGTCTCTAGGTTATACCTGAGCACTTGCAGGCTGAGCAGAATCAGTGTTCGATTAGTGATGTCTGCCACCGGCAGGGACTCACCATAGCAACACAAAGTGTAGTGTTTTTTTTCAGTGTTTGATTAGTGATGTTTGCTATGGTTGGGGGGTGAGACACTGGTAAAACAGGCACCGATAGTTGCCTCGAAAAACAAGTGGAAGAGTGTCTCACTGCCTTCAGAAAGGAGGCAGGAGATTTTGTTTCACATGTTAATGGGTGCATTGGGGTTGTGGAAGCTGCTGCATTATTTGGACATTGCAAAAGATGGAGGCAAATTGGCACATACACTGTGGATTTGCCATTCTGAACTAGAACAGCAAAATCAGAAGGCTTCTCCTTCACCTAAGCCAGCAGTTTTCAAAACTCAACGTGAGTCAGAATTTCCCTGATGAGTCTGGCAAAATGCCTTCGCTTCAGAGATTCTTATTCAGCGGATTTGGTGCAAGATGCAGAATTTTCGTTTCAACAAGTACTGAGGGTCATTGTGATGCAATGGACTCTGGAAGTCACTGGCTTAAGGGATAGGGACAGAAATGGGCTACCAGCACCCTAAGGGCATCCCTGTGGGTAAGAACTATAACAGATACTTGTTGAGAAGGGAGGGGGCAAGTACAGTGATGGACCACAAACTCGAGACTCAGCGAGGGACAGTGAATTCCCCAAGGCCACACAGCTGGTTGGAAACCCAGGGTTCTCTGGCTCCCAGGTGAGCACCATCACACTCTGCTTTCAGGGATCTAATGCTCACTCAGGTCTTTGCACCTGTAGCCTTCCTTTTCCACACCAATGGCTTCTTCCAACTCATAGTTCCTTCATCCTCTCAGGGCTGCTAGGTGACCTCCCTGGTCTGCCTCTCACATGGATTTCAAGGGGTTCATCCTAACACCCATCTGACCCTGTTCCTGGGGTCAGAACTTCTGTGGCTCCCAACTTACCTCATTGTGTGGACACTGCCAGGACCCCCCAGCCCCCTCACTCCAGAGCAGTCTCTATGCCCCACCCACTGTGAAGATGACTCACTGTTCCCCAAATACACCTGAGAACCTGGATGTCAGTCCTCAGCATATGCCCTTCCTCTGAGCTAGAATGTCCTCTGTGCTCTGCGTTTGCTCTGTGTTTCTCCTGGGACTCAGAAGTCAACTCTGCGCGGAAGCCTTCTGGGACCTTCTACACTGCCAGGTGCTTCCTCTGTACACCCGTATGCCCAGTACGGCCTCTGATGTGACACATACCACTTTGCATTGTGAATGTATGAGTGCCTGACTTCCCCACTAAACTGGAAGGTTCTTGTGAACAGTGATTAGGTCTGGTCCATCACCAGGTCCTCAGGATCCAGTTTTGCACTGGACACACAGAGGAAATGGGCGAGTAAAGTGGACATGGGAGGGAAAAGGGCGGGGTCTGAGGCTGCTGGGCCATGGAGAGGAGCAGGGGTGCAGGAAGGGGCAGGGTGGTGGGACTGGGCCAGGCCACACCTTGTCGATGTAACTCCGGCCCAGCTCCTTCACTTCCTGAAGGTGGACCTGGGCTTGGGCCTGGGTTTTCTTGCCCATCCGCCTCCGACAACGCTTCCGGTACAGACAAAAACAGCAGCTGAAGACGAGGAGGACTGAGACCAGCACGATTGTGGCCAGGGCCCAGGGGGGCACTACAGAAGACATGGACACAACACACATTGAGGTCCTGAAAAGCAAACTGACTGTTTCAGCCCCGGTGATATGCAGAAGCTGAAATCCTGGCCTTGTTTTCCTTCCAGCCATTTCCATTCCGTTTTATTCCCCTGTATTCCTTCCAACTCATCTCACCTATAAAGCGATCTGAACCCCTATTCCAACCTGACATCAATTGGGGGGGTGCTAATCACTTCCACCACCATTCTAATTCTTCTGCTCACTTCTGATGCTCCTAGAAGCCTTAATGCCTTCCTGGGCCTGTTTCCATTTATCTAAAAGAAGGGACAGGTGGATTCTCCAATTCACCATTCCAAGATGAATTCCCAGCCCCATGCTCTGGTTCTCGTTTTTGTTGCACACCTGTTCTTTTTCTATTTCATTTAGATTCCAGTCCAGAACTCTGACTACGATCCCACCCGGATTTTCCAGCTCGCCAGCCGAGAACACCCGCCCGAATCCCGCCCTGAAAATCCTGACCAGTCTTTCCTTTTCCCTGAGCTCCAGCCCCTGCTTTGGCTCACCAGGGCCGTGGTTGAGGCGACTCGAGTCCGGAGGCGTATCCGGCGTTGGAAGCCCGGGGGTTGAGGGCTCCGGAAACATGGCAGCGGGGTCCTAGGGTCCTTTCTGCGGAGGCACCAAAGCGCCCTAGACCCCCACGCCCACCCAGTGCAACCACTGAGTCCTCCCAACAACAAAGAACTCCAATTCCCATCGGCCCCCAGGGCGAGCGGCTGCACAGGAATTAACCGGCCGCCGCGGGGCATGTTGGGGGTTGTAGTTTCAACCTCCCCGCGACGGAGGGAGCGCTCTGGGGATGCTTTCGAGCATCCAGTTCCATCCCAAAGGGACACTTTCATGCTCCGAGGTCCCCGTTGGAATGCCGCTCATTTTTACGGTTTCCCTGCACCTCTCTGGGATCTGAATCGGAAGCGGCCAAAAGTGAGCGTGGGAACCTGAGCACCGGGGTGCCCCATAGCATTGCCGTGCTCCGCTGGGGCAGGATCGGAGCCGGGATGGTTGCCCCGGCAACGGCCTGTTGCCACGACAACTGGCCGAGTTTAAGTACCCAAGCCAAGCCCCGGCAGAGCGGTCTGGCTGCGCTCTGTCCAGCTTGGGACCCCAGACTCGGATCCCAGGACCAGAGAGGGTGGGAGGGGCGACCTTGCCCCTCTGTCCAGGCGCCCACAGCTGGCCCCGCCCCCACAGCTGGCTCTAAGGGCGGAGACTCAGTCTCTTGCGGGGAATGTGGGGGTCGGGGGCCACCGTGCTGCCTCTGCTGGGCACCCACATTTTCTTGGCCGTCCGTCTCTACCTCGCATCCCGAGCTGTCTTCACACCTGTCCTCGTGACTGCCGCAACCCCCACGCTTCCTTCTGCTCTCCCTACTTCTCCTGCCCGTGCCCCCATCAGCTTGTCGCTGCTCCCCCTTTTGTCCCCCTTGCCCTCTGCCTATTGTCTGGGCTCAGTCTCCTGGGGTCCCCCGCCCGGCTCCTGCCTGTTTCTCCCTCCCCTCCAGCTCTTTGTCCCCACACCTGTCTCCCGGTTCAGGCTGTAGCCCTCCCACGCCCTCTGTTGGTCCCTCCCAGGGTTACCCCGTGCCCCAAACACCCTGTCCGTCTAGGGATGAGGACGAGGATGGGGTTTAGGGAGGGGATCCCCGCAGCTTCCTACCTGCTCAGCAGATTCACAGGACCCTCTCCCAGAGGCGCGGAGGCGTCGGCCCTGCTTGACTCGGGCGGTGGCGCTGTCCTCGGTGCTGATAGCGGAGCGCAGTGGGGCGGGGGCGCGGCTGGGCGGAAATGGCCGCGCTCGCGCGTGTTTGTGGTGTGTGTGTGTGTGTGTGTATGTGTGTGTGAGAGAGAGAGAGAGAGAGAGAGAGAGAGGCCGCGCGTGCGTGTTCCATACTGGGTAAGTGGAGAGCCCGGTCCCGCCCCTCGTCCCACCCCCAGCCAGGAACCACAGGAATACTCGTCCCGGTTCCCAGAGATTTTGTGCGTTCTAGTTCAGCCCACCCTCTTTCGACCTCCTATATAGCCCAGAGAACCCGGGGCCAGGATACCAGTCTTAGAATCCAGGAGACACTCTCAGTGGTATTCAGATATCCAGACGCCAGACTCAGCACGGAAGTCTCCAGCACACTATGGCCAGATATCACCCCACCCTACACCTTCCCCAGTCTCCAGGCCCAGGAGGCAGGCCCCCATATTTCTAGCTCCAAGAACTGAGTCCACATAGCGGTGGAAATGAACCTTTGTACCTGCAGCCTTCTCAACTATCCAACACTCCGGCTTTCCAGGTGCAAAACTGTGAGTCCCTCTAGTTATCTCCCTGGGACTTTCTTTTACAGATACATTTTATTTATTTTTTAGACAGAGGGGAAGGGAGAAATAGAGAAGCATCAACGCGTGGTCGCCTCTCGCACGCCCTCTACTGGACACCTGGCTTGCAACCCAGGCATGAGTCCTGATTGGGAACAGAATCTACGACCCTTTGTTCAAAAGGCCCGTGGTTAATCCAATGAGCCACAACAGCCCGCGCCACCTCCCTAGGACTTTTGCCTCAGTATTTAAACATCGCATCCCCACCATCCTCCTCCCCCCCTAAGAGCATTTGGAGAAATCCAAAGGAGCACATATCTGCAGAAAATAGTGATTTAATAAATTACAGGATAGAGGGGAAAATCTGTACAGGGAGTGGGTGCAGTGAGCCCTGAGATCCTAGGAGATTTGGTTTCTGAAGCGAAACGTGGGCAGAGTCCTGTCTAACTTGCTCCTTGGGTAGCCAGAGTCCCGGAGCCTCATTCCTTCCTTCCTCAGAATCCAGCTTGTTTCTATGAGACCAGGCACCCTGGGCCGCTGGCCTCTCTTCTAGGAACTAGGACATCCTAGCTCCATGCCTCCCCTCCTTCAAGGAACCAGGATCCCAGCTCCCACCTGACCTCTCTCCCCGAGGGCTACCAGCCCTCATCCCAGCCCAGTAGTCTGGGAGCCCCGGTCCTCCACTCTCCCAGGGGTCCAGGAATCTGGGCTGCAGCCTGCATCCAGGGTTTGAGTCTAGCTGGGCTGGGGTCACAGCAACCCTGGAGTTCAGCTTCCCCTAGCGGGCCGCCTCATTCTCAAACGTCAGGTTCTCATAGATGGCCTCCTTCTGGGTGGGCGCTGGGGACCACTGCTGGAGGAACCGGAGGATGCACTGGTGCAGGAACACGTACTGGGCCTGGGGAGGGCAGACAGGGAGGCTCGGGGAGGTGAGGGGGGCCCTTAGAGCCTCGGCCTGCTCCCCCCCCACCCAGGGACCCCACTCCGGCCTACCACCACCCACCCCCTCAGGCGACTGAGGCCCCCAGTCACCTCCGTCTGCACCATCATTGGCCGGCTTTGCCGCATCTTGCTCACGTAGCTGAAGGGCCCCACGAAGCCCTGGCGCTCCAGCTGCCGCAGCAGGACGTCCAAGGCGATGAGAGTGCCTGTGCGGCCCACACCAGCGCTAGGCAGGGACAGGGAGCGTTCAGACCATGAAGGGGGGGGGTTGGAGGTGGATGGCAAGGACCTGGTTTGGAGCACTGAGAGACTGAGGCGGTATTTGAGCAAGACACGGTTCCGGAAAAACAGTGTGGGGGTACCTACCGAAGGGGAAAGTAATGACACAGACTCTGTGTGGCGTTCTTTGCACCCGCCAGGCCCACGTCACAGGTGGGGAAATGGGGGCGGAGCCAGGTGAAGTCACCTGGTCCAGGTCACTAGGCTAGTAAGTTGACAGCGCTGAGGTTGACCCATGGGAAGATGCACTTCCAAAATGATCATTAAAGTAAAGTAACTTCCCCTCAGGGATATAAAGACAACACAGGGAATATAGTCAATAATATTGTAATAATGCATGGTGCCTGATGGGTACTTGAAATATAGGGGGGACCATGTGGTACGGTTCGGGATTATCAGATCCACATGCTGTGCACCTGAAACTCTATTTAAAAAATGTTGAATGTCTGCCCTGGCTGCTGTAGCTCAGTGGATTGAGTGCGGGCCTGCGAACTAAGGGATCGTGGTTCGATTCCCAGTCAGGGCACATGCCTGGGTTGCAGGCCAGTTTCCAGTGGGGGACTCACGAGAGGCAACAATACATTGATATTTCTCTCCCTCTTTCTCTCCCTTCCCCTCTAGAGATAAATAAATAAAATATTTTTTAAATGTTGAATGTCAACCATAACTGAAAGATAAAATTTCAAAATGTCTGAAAATTAAAAAAATATATTAAACGTGAAGTTCGCCTTTTTAAAGGAAACAATTTCGTGGCATTCATGACATTTGCAGTGTTTTGCAATCACGACCTCCATCTAGTCTCCAAACACTCATCTCCCTCAAAAGGTGGCCCCAGGTCCGTTAGCCACCCCCTCGCCGCTCCCTCTCCCTCCAGCTCCTAGCAACCACCAGTCTGTCTTCCGGTGGATTGGCCTGTTCTGGGCGTTTCACGTAAACAGAACCATCCACCCTGACCTTCCGAGTCTGTGTCCCTTCACTGAGCCTACTGTCTCTGAGGTTCACCACGCCATCTCCTGAGGCCCGACCTCTCCGCACTGGTCGGGAAGGAAGCACAGTGTGCTGCGGCGCCTCCAGGGGGCGCTCGCCCAGGTCATGGAAGGTTGGGACACCTTTTGGCGGTTAAGAGAGGTTAAGGGCCTCCCACCGAGGCTGGCTGTCCCTGCCTGGAGCATGCCCCTCCCTCACCCTCCTCGGACTGGCCTTCAGTGAAATCTTACCTTGGGGGGGGGGGGGGAACGCGTCATCATCAACAGGAACGGGATGGAGGGCTGAGGCCAGCACAGGAGACCAGTGAGAGGTTTCCAATGCTCCTTGAAGCCTGTGGCAGCTTGGCCCTTCCGTCCTCACCCCTCTTCCCCCCTCCTCCTCCTCCTCCTCCTCACTCAGGCCTTCTCCTCCTTTACTTTCTCCTCTTTCTTTCCAATCTGCCCATCAGTACCAACAGTACAGCTGCCTCAATGCCCTCTCACCTCTGCCTCCCCCACCTTCTCTCTTCTGCCTCCTCACCAAGGTCCCTTGGACCCAGATGATCCCGGTGTCTGAGCCCCTAGGGGGCCTCTCTCTCTCTCACACGGACAGGGTTGGGAGGTCCTCACCTGCAGTGCACAATGGGGGGGCCTCCCCCGGGATTCTGGTCCAGCCACTGCCTGAGCACCTTCCGGAAGGCCAGCAAGGGGTCCGGGGTGTGGGGGACCCCGTGGTCTGGCCAGGCCACGTAGTGAAATTGTCGCACGGACAGCGTCTTCTGCTCCTGTGTCTAGATGGAGGGTGGGTTGGGGGAGGGAGAGCTCAGCACGGGGGATGCAGGGGCAGGATTCTGACCGGCAGGGGCATCCCTGGGGCTCACTGTGGTCCCTCGGGGGAGTAATAGCAGATCAGGCTTCCTGGGGTGTCCTGGGGAGGGGACTGTCCGCCACGTCCCGTGACGCTGGCAGGGTGGCGGGGGACGTACATGGTGCAGCTTCAGATGTCGGATCGTCCAGTTCTCCATCACCTCCTCACCCTCCAGGGTCACTTGCAGGTGCCCGTGGGTGCAGGGCCTGGCGTCGAGAGGCCAATAATGCTCACACTTGACCTGGGGGAGGATGCAGGGTCAGCGAGCAGGAGCCCCAGAGCGCCTGCCCGGAGGCATCTCCGCAGGGTGGTCTTTGTATTCAGGGCCTAGGGAGGGCTTGAGTAGCTCCACCCTCTGGCCAGGGTTGTGGGGGTCAGCCTCACCCCACGGGTGCACAATGGGTGGCCTGCGTGCAATGGAGGACGTTGGGGTCCTCTGGGAGGGAATTCATCAGGTTGGGTCAGGGCAACAGTGAGACCAGTGTCCCGGGTGGGGTTACGGGATGGAGCTCAGGGGTCAGTCCCCCGGACCCCGGAAGAAAGGTTTTTCTCACCCGGCCGAACTCCACGCAGTTGGTGAGCATGACCAGGGTGTGGCTTTTCTGCTCCCACACCAGGCGCCAGAAGTCACCCACCGTCTGGGGCAGGGGACCCTGGGTCGCAATGAATTCCCGGGGGCTCCAGAGACCCTGATGGGGGGAAGCAGGCACTTCCTGATGCCCTCGGGCCGCCTCAGCCTCCCTCAGCACCCGCCCAGCCCCCAGCCGCCACCTACTGGCATGAAGCTGGCATTGATGTAGTCGGATCCAGACTCCCCCAACACAGGCTTCAGGGGTACCCGGGACCAGTCATCTAGGGGAAGAGGCCAGCATTGCAGAGCAGAGTGGGGGGACAGGAGTCACACTGGGGAGCAGGCAGACACTGGGAGCTCTGAGAGGGGCGAGGACCTCATCTGGGAGGACTGGGCCTGGGGCAGGAGCCCATGGCTCTCAGCGGGTAAGGGACGGACCAGGGGATGGGGTGCGGACAAAGTCCCGCCTGGGGACAAAGTCAGCAGGAGTCCAAGACTCACAGGGCAGCACATTCCTGTAGCGGTTCTTGGTGCAGTTCTCTGGAGCGGAGGCTACCGTCTGAGACTGGCCTTGGGCCTCCAGGGCCAAACGCTGGGGGCAGGGCGGAGGATGGGGGGCACAGATGTCAGGATTCTGCCACCTTCCCCGAAGGACAGCCTGGCTGCTCCCTTCTCCTTGTTCAGAGCCCCCCATTGACCCCTCGCGCCCTAAGATCGCTTTCCCCCGTAGAAAAGGAATGTGTGTGCCGTTACACCTGGGGGACATTGGGGTGCTTTGAGTGGCTATAGAGGCTAGAGATGGGGGTGCCAGGGAAAACCATGCACCCGTCATGCTGTAAGATTCCGCTGATTCGAAAACACAATCACACCTGAGAGCGTCTGTGTAAGTCCACTCTGCCCCTGGTTCTCACCTCACCTGGTCCCTCTGCCCCTCTCTTCTCCCCTCACCTGGTACTCCTCGGCAAAGCCACAGTTGCTGTCCTTCTCATTTTTCTTGACGTGGTCAGCAAAGTCAGCCGCCCGGATCTCCTCTGGAAAGCTGAGAGAGGGGTAAAGATTTTAACCTCCTTTAATCTTATGCTCTTGGGATAAAAGGAAAGGCGTTTTTATGGTTGTTTACATCCCCAGAACATAAGGGGCAGGGATTTTAGGCCCTTTGAGATTGGTGTGGGGGGGGGGCTCACTGATCCTGCCCTCTGACCCATGTAAGTGACCAGCCTGTAACACCCCTTGATGTGACCTCGCAGTGATTCTTTGGGATGCCCCCCAAAATGGCTGCTCACCTGGATTTGGACTCCTTCCAGCTCTTTCTATGCCTGGGGGAAAGGGTGTTGAGATGAAAGGCTCAGGGAGTGAGCCTGGAACCAGAGGCCCTGCCCACCCCCCCCCCGTCCCCACCCCCAGGTGGAAGGTCAGTGTTGTGCTGAGTCCCACCTCTTTTTTTTGTTGTTTATTTTTAGTGAGGGGGAAGGGAGAGAAACATCAATGCGAGGTTGCCTCTCACGCTCCCCCTACTGAGGACCTGGCCCACAACTCAGGCATGTGTCGTGAGTGGGAATCGAACCCACCACCCTTGGTTTGCAGGCTGGCACTCAGGCCACTGAGCCACACCAGCCAGGACTCACCTCTTCTTCAGGAAGAAAATCAGCAGGCACACCAGTACGATGAACAGGAGGACACCAACGATGGACCCGGCGATGACCCCTGGGGGGAGGAGGCGTGGGGAGTGGTTAGGGCCCAGGCCCTATCTCCCCATGTCCACTTGGTCCTGTCTCCACCCTCACCCCCCACCGACTGTAATCAGAGGGCCCCCAGGGGCGATGCTGGTGCAGGGAGGAGAGAGGGAAAACCTTTCTCTCGATCCCTCACTGCCCCAGGAGCCTGGTCCAAACGCATCATTTTCTCAGGTGACCTGGCTGCTAGAATGACAGAACCCGGCTGTACCTAGACCAACAGTTCTCAGCAAAGGTGACTCTGCCTTGCTGGAGGCGTCAGGTAGCGTCTGGAGACATTTTAGCTTGTCCCAACTGGGATGCTGGCGCCACCACAGAGGGATCCAGCTCCCACGTCAGAAGTGCCCAGGTTAGGAGCCCGCTCCCCGGGGGTGGATGTCATCGGTGGGTCTCTCCAGAACTGAGGCTCATCACCTCAGACGTCCTGTTTGCTAGGAGCACGAATCCCTCACACCAGGGCCCACAGAGGCTGGTGGTACCCAAGATCTCCCAGGATCCATCCTTAGACGTTTGGTCTTAGGGTAGACTCAAGCACTCGGCCTACCTGCATCGGTCATGGCTGTCCTCGGCTACAACTTTTTTTTTGGTCTTTTTAAAAAGAATTACATTTCAGCACTGGACTGCGACCCAAAGGGTCAATGGTTTGATTCTCAGGGCACATGCCTGGGTTGTGGGCCAGTTCCCAGCAGGGAGTGCAGGAGAGGCAACCATACATTGATGTTTCTCTCCCTCTCTTTCTCCCTTCCTTCCCCTCTCTCTAAAAACAAATAAATGGCATTTTATGGGACAGCGCACCAACCAACTGAGCCACCCAGCCAGGGCAAGAAGATGCCTTTTCTTTATAGAGTGAATAACATATTCTAAAATTGAGACTGATGATGCTTGCACACTAGCTACTGTGTATATAACTAAAAGCCATTGGACTGTGCACTTTAAATGAGTAAGTTGCGAACCAAGGGATCGCAGTTTGATTCCCAGTCAGGGCACATGCCTGGGTTGCGGGCCAGTTCCCAGCAGGGGACGCATGAGAGGCAACCACACATTGATGTGTCTCTCCCTCTCTCCTTTCCTTCCCTTCCCCCTCTAAAGATGAAGAAATAAAATCTTTAAAAAATAATAATAAAGCCGTTTGAGAGAAAGCAGAACACAAACAAGCAAACAAAAAGGACCCCATGGGTGGGTAAGACTCCCTCACAACAGGGCCCTGATAGGGGGTTCTACAGAGACTGCCTCTGTCTGTCCCGGGGGGGGGGGGGGGGGGGGGCTCTGCTCACCAGCACTATGGGTGTGGCAGGTCACGGAGGCAGCTGGGGCCCGCATTCCGGCCCAGACGGTGGCCACGGTGGCTTTGTAGGACCGAGCCGCCTGCAGACCCAACACAGGCACACCCCTTTCGCAGGTGGATCTGTCCTGGGAGCTCTGATGCCCACCCACCTGCAGCTCAAAGGCCTCATAGCCTCCCAGGGGGCAGGACCAGGTCACGAGGAGCCCATAGTCCCCAGAGGTGCCGACGCAGGAGATGATGGTGACGGGGTCCGGGCCTGAGTGGAGAGGACAGGAGGAGTCAGTCAGCATGTGTCATCCAAGGTGGTTTTTCATCCCTCCCCCACCTTGCCACCAGTGATGCCAATTCTGTAACATTGAGCCCATCCTTTCCTTCCCCAAACCAAAATACTTCCTCATCCCTCCTCTTCTGGCTTCCCTAAGTGGACTCAAAAACTACAACTCCCATGAGGCCTCTGAACCTCTACGTCACCGTAGCTTATAGAGTCATGGCCCCACGGCCTGATGGGAATTGTAGTCCACTCATTTATCTGCACTGTTGAACCTAAAGCCCTTCACCAGGTAAAAGAAAGAAGCCCCATCTCACTTGTGGACGCAGTAAGGCTCTGTGCGGAACTGGCTACTTCGCTCCTCTCCGCCCACACGCTGAAGTTATACAGAGTCCCGGGCTCCAGGCCCTGCACCTGGTACGAAGTCTCGTTGGTCCTTCCGTACGAAGTCTCGTTGGTCCTTCCGGTCTGGTAGGCTCGGTAGCCTTGGGGATCGCGCTCCCTCTGGGGAAGCCCCGCACTGGCCCACTGGACCACGTACACGTAGAGGTGAGGGCGGGGGTCTGTGGGGGGCTCCCACCGCAGGGTGATGGAGTTGTTGGTCTGAGTTTCCTTCTGCAGGGCTGTGACCTCACTGGGAGCTGAGAATAGAGACAGACACACACCCACGGGGCTGGATCCTCGAGGACCCTCAGACCCGAGCCTGCTCCCCTGCCCTTTCCTGCAAAGCTGGGGTGCCCTGGTCATCGAATGGGTCTACTCCCTCTGGAGCAGGAACCACAGGAAAGAGGAGGGTACACGGGCACCTGGGTCCTCCCTGTCCTGAGTCCGTAGCCCTGGGTCCCACCCACTACCTTTCTCCACAGGCAGGGCCCCTTGTCACTTCCAGACACACCAAGTTTCTAGAACGAGCTATTGACTTCCGTCTTCTTGGCCCAAGTGGCCGAAGCCCAAAGGTTCCTGGTTCTGTCCGTGAACATGAACCTCGTCCCTTGGGCATATGGCTCCTCTCACACTTGGGACCTTCCCTGTGCATGCTGGGAGGCAGGCTGTGTTGGTTCAGCTCGTGCCCCGGGACAAGGGGTGGATGACTGTCTCGCTTTGTCCCCAAAGACAGACCTTCCCATGGGAACACCCTTGTTGCTGAGGACAGACCCCGCCCCAGGAAGCAGACCCACAAGCTCAAGGTCTGAAGAGGCTGGAGAGGGGTCATCAAGTGCGATTCACTTCCCAGGTACCCCCCAACACCCCCCTCACCCGCCCCAGCATTGCTGCCCCCAGAACTAGACTGTGTCTCACCAGTGGCCCCAGTGAGAGCCTCGACCTCACTGCGGACCCCGTTCCTCTCTGCCCAGACGGTGAAGGTGAACAGGCTCCCAGCATCCACTTCCTTCAGCGTGAACCCGGTCTCTGTGGTGCTAGAGTTCACAGTACCAGTCTTGTCCTCCTGGATCCATGACACCCAGTAGGTGTAGTTCTGAGGGTTTGGTCCGTTGGGGGCCTCCCAGCCCAGGCTGATGGAGCTGGTGGTCTGAGCCTCCACACCCAGGTTCCTGACAGGGTTGGGGGCTGGGGATTGGATGGGAGGGAAAATCGGCTGAAGTGTCTGATTGCCACATCTTCAGACCTTCCTTCACCACGGGACTTATAAAACATGGGTGGGCCCTGGCTGGTGTGGCTCAGTGGACTGAGCTCCGGCTTGGGAACCACAGAGTCACCAGTTCGATTCCCAGTCAGGGCACATGCCTGGGTTGCGGCTGAGGTCCCCTGGTGGGGGTGCACAAGAGGCAACCCCACATTGATGTTTCTCTTCCTCTCTCCCTCCCTTCCCCTCTGTCAAAAAATAAATGAATAAAATCTGTACAAAAAAAACAAAAACCACAACAAAAAGTTAAACAAGGGCAGCCTCTCACCTGTGGCGGCACTGAGGGCCTCCTGGGAGCTGCTGAGTCCACCTGCCTCCACCCACATGGAAAATTCATACAAGGACCCGGGGTCCAGTCCCTCCGCTGTGAAACTGGTGCCTGTTGTGCTTTGGGTCTCATTTTTGTCCCCCTGTCCAGTCCACCGCACCCAGTAGGTGTAGTTCAGGGCAGGGCCGACGGGCAGTTCCCAGCGCAGGCTGATGGAGCTGGTGCTGTAGTTCTTCACTCCCAGGTTCCCGACAGGGCTGGGGGCTGAGATGTTGCAAAGAAGGACCAGTGTCGGCAGGGAGAGGAAGACAGAGGACACCCACTGGGCATCGCTAACCCTCCAAGTTGCCCGTCCGGCCCCTTCTGCAGCCCTGGCTGCTGAGCAGACTCGCGTGTTACGGTCTCAAAAGCTCCCCGTCCGGCCCAGTGACGCCTGAGGACATGCTGAGCCCTCCAGCGTGGCTGACACCTCCTCAGGAGCCGCCCCCTACCATGCCCAGGGGACAAAACAGAGAGCTCCTGACCTGTGGACGCCAGGAGGGTCACACGGGAGCTGGGAACTCCATTCTTCTCCGCCCACACGGAAAATTCATACGAGGATGCTGCTTGAAGTCCTTCCACTTTGTAACTGGTGTCCGTCGTGATGCGGGTCTCATTTTTGTCACCGTCTCCAGGCCAGTGGACCCAGTAGGTGTAGTTCTGAGGGTTTGGGCCGTCGGGCGCCTCCCAGCCCAGGCTGACGGAGCTGTTGGTCCGAGCCTCCACACCCAGGTTCCTGACGGGGTTGGGGGCTGAGGATGGAGACAGGAGGAGAAATCGGCTGGGGTCTCTGGTTCCCACATGTGCAGACCTTCCCTCCCCACCAGACTCAGAAGAAAGGGGGAGGAGGCTGGACCTGGGAGTCCAACACGGCAGATGTGACTCCCTGGTGACAGTGAGCCCTGGAGGGCGGCTTGTAAAATGCACACCGAGTTCGAGAAATGGGTGTGAAGTGATGCCTGAGACATGTCATTGGTGCTCTGATAGAGACACCACGTCACGCAGACATGGTTAGACAGACTGGATTTCTTCCTTTTATTTATTTCTTTATTCTTAGTCTTTTTGATCCTGGCCCCAGGATACACTCATTGACTTCAGAGAGTGGAAAAGGGAGGAAGAGAGAGAGGGAGCGGAACATTGATGTGAGGGAGGAACAGCCATTGGCTGCCTCTCCTGTGTGTCCTGACTAGGGACCAAGCCCCCAACCCAGGAATGTGCTCTGACCTAAGTCAAAGCTGCAGCTGTTTGGTTTAGGAGATGACACTCCAACTAACAGATCCACGCTGGCCAGGGCAGAGTGATAACACTTGGGACCTACTGGGCTAAAGAAACTGTCTTACAGTGAATTTCACCTGTGCGCTTTTACTCATCTCAGTGGGGCCAACAGGAAACTTAAGTCTCGCCTGGTTGGTGTGGTTCCCCGTGTTGAGTGCCAGCACTCGAACTGAACGGTGGCTGATCCCACCGTGTCGCAGGACACATGCCTGGGTGCAGGCCAGGGCCCGGGTTGGCGTGGGAAAGGCAACGGGTCCATGTTTGTCTCGCACATTGATGTTTCTCTCCTTCTCTTTTCCCTTCCCTTCCCCTCTCTCTAAAAGATAAATAAAATCTTTTGGAAAGAAAGAAAGAGAGAGAGAGAGAGAGAGAAAAGAAAGAAAGGGAAGGAAGGAAGGAAGGAAGGAAAGAAAGAGAGAGAGAGAAAGAAAGAAAGAAAGAAAAAAAGAAAGAAAGAAAGAAAGAAAAGGAAGGAAGGAAAGAAAGAAAGAAAGGGAAGGAAGGAAGGAAGGAAAGAGAGAGAGAGAGAGAGAAAGAAAGAAAGAAAGAAAGAAAGAAAGAAAGAAAGAAAGAAAGAAAGAAAGAAAGAAAGAAAGAAAGAAAGAAAGAAAGGAAAGAAAAAAGAAAGGAAGGAAGGAAAGAAAGAAAGAAAGGGAGAGAGGGAGAGAGAAAGAAAAGAAAGAAAGGGAAGGAAGGAAAGAAAGAAAGAGAGAAAGAAAAAGAAAGAAAGAAAGAAAGAAAAGAAAAAAGGAAGGAAAGAAAGAAAGGAAGGAAGGAAGAAAGAAAGAAAGGAAAGGAAAGGAAGAAAGAGAAAGAAAGAAAGAAAGAAAGAAAGAGGAAAAGAAAAGAAAAAGAACGAACTTGAGTTTACACATGCAGCTTCCATTGTATGCCTTTCAGTCTCAGAACCTGCCGTAGTCTCCTATGGGTTTGCAAGCCACCTCCCTTTAGAAAACAACCACAAAAGAGAGAGAGAGAGAGATGGGCTGCCTCTCACCTGTGGTAGCATTGATAGTCACCTGGGAGCTGTTGACTCCACCTTCCCCCACCCACACAGAAAATTCATACAAGGACCCGGGGTCCAGTCCCTCTGCTGTGAAACTGGTGTCTGTTGTGTTTCGGGTTCCATTTCTGTCCCCCTGTCCAGTCCACCGCACCCAGTAGGTGTAGTTCAGGGCAGGGCCGACGGGCAGTTCCCAGCGCAGGCTGATGGAGCTGGTGCTGTAGTTCTTCACTCCCAGGTTCCCGACAGGGCTGGGGGCTGAGATGTTGCAAAGAAGGACCAGTGTCGGCAGGGAGAGGAAGCCAGAGGACACCCACTGGGCATCGCTAACCCTCCAAGTTGCCCGTCCGGCCCCCTCTGCAGCCCTGGCTGCTGAGCAGACTCGCATGTTATGGTCTCAAAAGCTCCCCGTCCGGCCCAGTGACGCCTGAGGACATGCTGAGCCCCCCAGCATGGCTGACACCTCCTCAGGAGCCGCCCCCTACCATGCCCAGGGGACAAAACAGAGAGCTCCCGACCTGTGGACGCCGGGAGGGTCACAGGGGAGCTGGGAACTCCATTCTTCTCCGCCCACACGGAAAATTCATACGAGGATGCTGCTTGAAGTCCTTCCACTTTGTAACTGGTGTCCGTCGTGATGCGGGTCTCATTTTTGTCACCGTCTCCAGGCCAGTGGACCCAGTAGGTGTAGTTCTGAGGGTTTGGGCCGTCGGGCGCCTCCCAGCCCAGGCTGACGGAGCTGTTGGTCCGAGCCTCCACACCCAGGTTCCTGACGGGGTTGGGGGCTGAGGATGGAGACAGGAGGAGAAATCAGCTGGGGTCTCTGGTTCCCACATGTGCAGACCTTCCCTCCCCACCAGACTCAGGAGAAAGGGGGAGGAGGCTGGACCTGGGAGTCCAACAGGGCAGATGTGACTCCCTGGTGACAGTGAGCCCTGGAGGGCGGCTTGTAAAATGCACACCGAGTTCGAGAAATGGGTGTGAAGTGATGCCTGAGACATGTCATTGGTGCTCTGATAGAGACACCACGTCACGCAGACATGGTTAGACAGACTGGATTTCTTCCTTTTATTTATTTCTTTATTCTTAGTCTTTTTGATCCTGGCCCCAGGATACACTCATTGACTTCAGAGAGTGGAAAAGGGAGGAAGAGAGAGAGGGAGCGGAACATTGATGTGAGGGAGGAACAGCCATTGGCTGCCTCTCCTGTGTGTCCTGACCAGGGACCAAAACCCCAACCCGGAAATGTGCTCTGACCTAAGTCAAAGCTGCAGCTGTTTGGTTTAGGAGATGACACTCCAACTAACAGATCCACGCTGGCCAGGGCGGAGTGATAACACTTGGGACCTACTGGGCTAAAGAAACTGTCTTGCAGTGAATTTCACCTGTGCGCTTTTACTCATCTCAGTGGGGCCAACAGGAAACTTAAGTCTCGCCTGGTTGGTGTGGTTCCCCGTGTTGAGTGCCAGCACTCGAACTGAACGGTGGCTGATCCCACCGTGTCGCAGGACACATGCCTGGGTGCAGGCCAGGGCCCGGGTTGGCGTGGGAAAGGCAACGGGTCCATGTTTGTCTCGCACATTGATGTTTCTCTCCTTCTCTTTTCCCTTCCCTTCCCCTCTCTCTAAAAGATAAATAAAATCTTTTGGAAAGAAAGAAAGAGAGAGAGAGAGAGAGAGAGAGAGAGAGAAGAAAGAAAGGGAAGGAAGGAAGGAAGGAAGGAAAGAAAGAGAGAGAGAGAGAGAGAGAGAGAGAGAAAGAAAGAAAGAAAGAAAGAAAGAAAGAAAGAAAGAAAGAAAGAAAGAAAGAAAGAAAGAAAGAAAAAAGAAAGAAAGGAAGGAAGGAAGGAAAGAAAGAAAGAAAAAGAAAGAGAAAGAAAGAAAGAAAGGAAAGGAAAGAAGGAAAGAAAGAAAGAAAGAAAGAAAGAAAGAAAGAAAGAAAGAAAGAAAGAAAGAAAGAAAGGAAAGAAGGAAAGAAAGAAAGAAAGAAAGAAAGAAAGAAAGAAAGAAAGAAAGAAAGAAAGAAAGAAAGAAAGAAAAAAGAAGGAAAGAAAAGGAAGGAAGAAAGAAAGAAAGGAAAGGAAAGGAAAGGAAAGAAAGAAAGAGAAAGAAAGAGGAAAAGAAAAGAAAAAGAACGAACTTGAATTTACACATGCAGCTTCCATTGTATACCTTTCAGTCTCAGAACCTGCCATAGTCTCCTATGGGTTTGCAAGCCACCTCCCTTTAGAAAACAACCACAAAAGAGAGAGAGAGAGAGATGGGCTGCCTCTCACCTGTGGTAGCATTGATAGTCACCTGGGAGCTGTTGACTCCACCTTCCCCCACCCACACAGAAAATTCATACAAGGACCCGGGGTCCAGTCCCTCTGCTGTGAAACTGGTGTCTGTTGTGTTTCGGGTTCCATTTCTGTCCCCCTGTCCAGTCCACCGCACCCAGTAGGTGTAGTTCTGGGCAGGTCCATCGGGCGCCTCCCAGAGCAGGGTGATGGAGCTGTTGGTCTGAGACGTCACCGTCAGGTTCCTGACAGAGTTGGGGTCTGAGAAGTGAAAAGGAGAGTCAGTGTCAGCAGGGCAGCCCCCCCTCTACACCCAGCTCCCACCAGCCCCTGGCTGGATCTGTACCCCCTCCATGGAGAACCCCAGGAAGACTCAGCGGGGGTCACTCACCAGCTGCCCCGGCCCCTGACCAGCTGCACAGGCCCTGGGGAGAGCCCAGAGGGGAGAGTTCGTCAGAGCCCGGCCCCCGCCTCCTGGCCCAGGTGAGACCTTGGAGCTGGGCCGGCAGCCAGCAGCCTCCCCGCCTCCGCGCCCCACCCAGTCCCTGCTGCAGGTGCCTCCTCCCCCAGGCCGAGCTCTGACAAAGGTCAGCCCAACAGCCTGCTGCCTTCTCTGGGTGTGACCGTGGCAGGCACGGGGTTTCAGGGACCCCAGAGCTGGGGTCGGCTCCACCGATTAAGCAGGGAGATAAACTTCATGGTTTCCAGCCCCAGAAAGTATGGTCTGGGAAGACGAGAAGCAGAAAAGTAAGCAACAGGTGGCTGGTAATACTAAAATGAAAAATAAAAGTAAACTGGGAAATGGGGGAGAGGCTGAGGCCACTCAGTCCCACAGAGGTGGCGAAAGGCCTGGACCCCGGAGTGTGGGGGAGGAGGGGCTGGGGCCCCGGACTGCCGGGTCTCTGTTACAAGAATTTAGTCTCACCTGGGACACCCACATCTAAGATCCCAGGGGCAGGACTCCCCAACAGCCTCCCCAGCCTAGATGCCTGCTGTCTTCTCCCAGGAACCGGCCGTCCTGACTCCCTCAGGACCTGAGTTCAGGGACCCCGGCTCCTCCATCCCTGAGACCCACACCCAGCGGTGACCCCTCCTTGTCCTGCCCCAACACCCCAGGCCACCGGCTGGGAACACTCACCAGCAGCAGCAGGCTCCCCCAGGCCCTGAGGCCCCCGCCGGACCCTGTCATGCCCGCAGACACTTGGAGGGACCCAGGTGTTCCCGTCCTGGGCCTTCCACCTGCTGGACTTCAAATGCCAGCATTTCCCCTTTCCCGGGTGACAAGGACCAAGAGGCCACAGGTCAGGGTGGAGGAGGAAGTGGAGGCTCCAGGGAGATTTCCCACCCCCGCCCCGTCCCTCCGCCTGGTTCATGGCCTCTAGACCGTCCTCTGCGCAGAGAAAAACACGGGGTTGGGGTGGTGCTTCCCCACAGGTGTGGGAATTTCCTGCAGCCCCACACAAGTTCGTCTCTTTTGTATGTGCCCCCTGGCTGCTCAAACACCAGGATCTTTGCACGTGCTGTGCTGGAAAGTTCTTCCTCCACCAGCCAGGGCCCACGGCCTCTTCCAGTTCTGATGGACCCTAGGCCCTTGACCACTCCCTGCTGCGTGAGCTGACCTAAGCGGACGCCTCATCACGATCCTCAGAATAGTGCACGTGGCCTTCCTTTGGAGGGTTAGAGACACTCTAGTCCCCTCTGCCGCGGTGACACCTGGGCCCTCAGGACCCAAAGCCGAGTCTGAATGTGATGTGCTTTGTCGCAGTACGGGAGTCCGCTGTCTGGGATCCGGCCTCGCGTTCCGCTCCGTCCCATCTTCCCTGACCTCCTGCTGGTGAACCAAGCCCCGACTCCGACACAGCGTGAGGGTGCAGGGACCCTGGATTCCTTCCCTCAAAGCTGCACCACACCCGGAACTCTTGGCAAAACCATGGCTGCCTCTGTCCTGATGTGGTCAGCAACACACTCAGCCAGGCCCTGGCTGGTGTAGCTCAGTGGGTTGAGCACGGGCCTGTGAAGCAAAGGGTTGCCGGTTCGATACCTAGTCACGACACATGCCTGGGTTGCGGGCCAGGTCCCCAGTAGGGGACACATGAGAGGCAACCACACATTGATGTTTCTCTCTCTTTCTCCCTCATTTCCCTTCGCTCTAGAAATAAATAAATAAAATCTTAAAAAAAGAAACTCAGCCGGGATGTCCTTGGAAGACCCCCGACACAGACGAATTTCACTGGGTGGGAGGGAGGATGTGAGGATTTTTTTCTCCTTGGTCCCCCAAGAGCAGACCTGCCTGCCCGGCTCCTGAGTAACAAAAGTGGACTTTCTCTAAGCTTTATCACAATGTTCCTCTATATCCTCACTACAGATGGAGGGGAGGGGCAATCAGAAGCCAGTCTCTACATTTTACCCATCACCCCCTGCCCAGTCCTGCCATCTGTCCACACCCCGGGCCCTGGACAAGCATCTTCCACATCTGTCTTCTGACTCACCTACCCCAGACACGCCCTCTAAACAAAATCTGCAACAAGGGTCTTTTGGAACTGGCATCTTCTGCTCACAGTAAGGTTTTTATTTATTTACTTTTCTAAGATTTCATTTATTTTCAGACAGAGGGGAAGGGAGGAAGAAAAGGAGAGTAACATCAATGTGTGATCGCCTTTCGAGCGCCCCCTACTGGGGACCTGGCTCCTGCAACCCAAGCATGTGCCCTGACTGGGAATGGAACCAAGATTCCCCTGGTTTGCAGGCCCGCACTCAATCCACTGAGCTACACCAGCCAGGGGAGGAACCTCCCATTCTTGATGACAGACAAGGCCTCGAGGCCTGGGTAGCCTAGCAGGTGGTCACAGCCACCAGGTGGGTGTGGGGCAGGGACTGAGAGGTGGCCTCCAGACCAACATCTGAGATTTTGAAGAGCAGGGTGCCCCACCCAGACCACCTGCCTCTCTCTGGCTGTCACCACATTCGTGACTGCTCGGGCCCAAGGCTCTCCTCTGTGCTGAGAGGGGACTCTGGCCTGAAGGTAGAACAGGGACTAAAACCCAGGGGGAGGCTGGGGGGGTCCCTATAAACACATTATGGATGTAAAGTCTCCTTTCTGTTAAGGTACAGGGAATAAGAGGCATAATTGGTAGGTACAAAACAGGGGGATGTTAAGAACAGTACAGGCAATGGAGAAGCCAAAGAATTTATACACACGACCCATGGATGTGAATTAAGGAGGGGACTGCTGGAGGGAAGGAGGGAACTGGGTAGAGGTGGGGGACCAAGGGGGGGAAATTGGGACAACTGTAATAGCATAATCAATAAAATATACTTTAAAAAAAGAAGTCCCCTAAAGCATATATATCATGGATGGAAAATCTCCCCTCTGCTACAAGAGTCCCTTAAAGCACACTGTACGTCAAGCAGGCTTTGGAGAGCAGCTCCGATTGCTTCCGGTCCTCAGATGCGGACCCCAAGGCCCAGGGAGGGTCAGTGGGCTGCCAAGGTCACAGCCAGGATGAGGGCCGCGTCTGGATTCTTCCTTCCTCCTTACTCTATTTCCACCCCATCACTGCCTACTTCTGCCTGAAGGCCCTCCCATCTGGGAGTCTCCTCACCTCCCCCACCCTCTCCTCTCCTTTTTCCTGATCCTGCAGGGACTGGAGTGGGTTGAATTGTGTACCCTGAAGCAGGTGTCAGAGACCTAAGCCCTGGCCTCCGTGGCTGTGGCATTATTCAGAAACGGGGCCTTTGGAGCCATCTTGAGATGCGATCGTCCTGGATTTGGGGTCCACCCTAAATCCAGTGGCCAGTGTCCTTAGGGGAGGAGACACACAGAGGGGGGGGAGTACCCGTGAGAAGGGACGCCAAGATTGGATGGACGCCAGGGAGCGGAAGAGGCAGCAAGGACCCTCCCCAGAGCCCGGGGTCTGGCGGACACATTGACTTTGGACGTCTGGCTTCCAGAACTACGAGAGACTAAACTGCGGCTGTTTCCGGCCACCCAGTTTGTGGTGACTTGTGACCGTGGCCACGGGCCAGAGCCTCCTCCTGGCCCCAGGTCTGTAACATCACCCCGGCACCGGGCAGTCCATGCCCCACACGCTCCGGGTGGGTGGCAGGCGAGTTAACTGTGAGTACAGCAAAAGACTGCCTGCCTGCATAAATTTTGTCATGAGGAGAAAAACAGCAAAAGAACAGAAACCCCTTTGGCTGACGTTGTGATCCCCTCCCCCCCACCCCCACCCCAAATAAAGGTGATGTCATTTCAACGTCCCCTTTACTCAGATAACAAATGAGTAACTGGGGCCAGAGGGCAGGGGGCCGGTGGACACGGGAGGCCGCCTGTGGTCACAGGGGCAGGCGGGGGCTTGGGCGGGGCCCAGCGAGGATCTGACTGAGGGCCTGGAACCTGGAATCAGAATCCAGGGAAGGTGTTCGGAACTCGGTGGATCCGGAGTTCTGACAATGGTTCGGCATTCCGGTGGACAGAAGCCTCTGCAGACGGAGGCTGGCAGGCTGGCTTCGGCCCTGGAGGGCGTTCCCCCATCCGGGTCTGGCTGGGAGGCCCAGGTCCTTGCAGGAGGGGAGCAGATGGACTGGGGGGGGGGGCGTGCCGTGTGGGCCCTCGGTCAGTGGGTCTTGAGCCTGGGGCCCTGGAAGGCCGACAGGGCGATGAACATCTGCGCGGCGTAGTAGGTGGCCATGACCAGCAGGCGGCCGTGGGCCAGGGGCTGGACGAAGGTGTCCCAGGCCAGCACGGCGTCCGAGATGGCGAAGAGCGTGGCGCCCCAGCGGGCCCTCCCGCCTCTGGCCAGCCCCCGCCACAGCGTGGTGCTCAGGGCCAGGCCGTAGGCCGCCAGAGGCAGGGCCATGTCGGGCTGGAGACGCGACAGGAGGAAGCCGGAGAACGGGAGGGAGACCAGGAGGACGGGCAGCAGGAGGCCCAGCCGCAGGGGCCTGAGGCCGAAGACCCAGGTGTAGAGCAGCTGGGCCTGGCTGAAGGCGAGGACACCTGGGGGCCAGGTGTGCCTGGTGAGGGCGAGGCCTGCCTCCCTGCCTCCCTGCACCGCCACCCGCCTGGTCTCCTGGGGGGCCACGCCTCCCCCTGCCCGCCCTGCTCAGAGCAGTCCCCACCCCACCCCCTGCTCAGCTCCCCACTTGGCCGCTGCGCCCCGGTGTCTGCACGCACGCTCTGGGCGCACTCCCACCCCAGGGCCTCTGCACTGGTGGGTCCCGTCCTTCCCACACCCCTGCCCAGACGTCCCCGTCTCTGCAGGGCCACCCTACTGAACACTGTGTCACTTGAACCCCACACTCCACTTCCGCCGTGCCCGCCACTCGCACTGGCACTGGCTCGGGTCAGGGTCTGGGGGGGGTGTCGGTCATGGCTGCAGCCCCGTGTCCCTGAATACCAGGCTGTCAATGATTTGCCCGCCTCTGCACCCAGGACCCCTTGGCCTGAGGGTCCGAAAGGGACGACGATGCACCCCGCTCAGCCGGCTCACCACAGAGGAAGGCCTGGGGCCAGACGAGACAGATGTCCCCGAGGGCAGAGAACAGCAGGGCCACCTGCAGGACAGCGCTGCAGTCCCCGCCAGAGCAGGTCCGCAGGAAGCCAGCCAGGGTCAGCACGGGCAGGCACTTGACCAGCGCGCCGACCCAGGAGGGCGGGTCGTCCGGGACCCGGAGGAGGAAGTAAGCAGCGCAGGCGATAAAGAAGGGGGTCAGGCTGAGCAGGCGTGGCTGCTGTGGGAACAAGGGGGCCGCCCGGACCCTGGAGCTCAGGCCGGCCCTCTCGGCCCCTGGGGTGAGGGTTCAGAAGCCGCCTGACCTGGGGGCCCCCGTCTGCCTGCCGCCCTTAGAGATCAGACCCCAACTGGCCAAGACTCGGGTCTAGGGGCTCCCACCGTGACCAGGGACCCCAGGACGTCCAGCCCCACACAGCCCAGCCTCCCAGGAGCCAAGGCCCGGCCCCCCTCCCACACTCAGGGGCTCTCACTTGGGCTGAGAATCGCGCATTTCGGGGCAGCCCCTCTTTCCGGGCATCCATGTCGGCCTGTGTCCCCCCCCCCCCCCGCCAGAGTGGGGAGCAGCAATGGCTTTGGGGATGGAGGGGACGGCGTGTGGTTGGTTACACGTTAACCCAAGGAGCGTCCTGTGGACTCTGGCTGATAACAGCCCAGGGAGATGCTGCCCCCGCCCTGGGATGGCTCTGCCTGGCGCCGGCAGATAAGGGGCCCACCAGGAGGCAGGGTCCCCTCCCCGCAGCCTGTCCCAGCCCCTGGGACCCAGCTTCGTCCCCCTCTGCTGTGGGGGCCAATGCCCCTTATTAGTTCTGCGCCCAGCTGGTCACAGCCCTCCTTCACCGGGGGAGGGAACAGGGCACCACCATCCCGTCTGTCTGCCAGTGGAAGACCCCCTGCCAGAAGGAGGGACAGGACGAGACCCCCTGTCCCTGCACCTCCTGGGGCCCCTCGTGCACTTGGGCCTTACTCCTGCCCCGTGGCCCCCACCACAGACACTTTCTGATCAAACAAACCCCAGTGATGACTCATCAGGGCCCCCAGCTGCAGACAGGGCAGGTCAAGGGCTCCCCACACAGGCCGGACCCTGGCCCGCCCTTCACCCTCCCCCTTGGCGCACAGACTCACTGGGCGCCCCGCCTGGCTTCCACGGCTGCCGCCTGGCTTCCACGGCTGCCGCCAACCACCCACTGCTGCACCAAGGGCACGGAGCTGGGGGGACGTGGCTCGTACAAGGTCCCTCTGTGGCTGGGGCAGCTAAGGGCAGAGCGGTGGACCCACGAGGCTGGGGGACCAAGGGGGAGACCCCGGGGACCAGGCCCCCCCACCCCCACCCCCCCAGAACCCAAGCTCCGAGCGACAGGAGTCTCGCACCGTCTTCCTCTGTTTATTTGTATTTGCAACGTGAAACAGAAGCTCAGCACGGACACACGCACACTCACGCCAGCCTGACAGGGGCTGGGACAAGGTCACTTGGCAGCTGGGCTGGAGCCCAGACCCTCAGGCACTGGAGGGGGACCCCAGCCAGACCCCCACCACACCCCTGCCCCAGGGTCTGTGGGAGGCGCAGGGGTCTCCGGAGTATGTCAGGGCCTCGTGGGAATGCCACCAGAGGGCCCCCTGGATTGGGACCCCCGGCCCCCAGCCCGGGGAAAGTGCAGGGTCTGGGGCATGGGTTGGGTCAAAGGCACAGCCCCCCTCGGGCCCCCCAGGTGGACCTGAGCTGAAAGGCCACGTGTGGAGTGTGGGGGTGGCGTCTACACCCAGAGGGAGAGAACAGCGCCCGGGACCCCTCGCAGCCCCACCCTGCCCGCCCAGGCCTGGCTCTGCTCCCACCCCTCCTCCCTCAATACGTATATAATATATAATATAGGTCTCTCTCTCTCTCTCTCTCTCCTTTCGCTCTACTCAACTCTGTATCTTTATTCTAGGAGACGAAACTCCATCATTTCTTTTCTCAGTGCAAACAGGGGTGGGTAGGGCCTGTCTCCCCGGCGTCAGCCTCCTGGGAGTGCAGAGGAGAGAATGTGGGGCGGGGGCGGGGGTGGGATGGGGCGATGGGGCAACAGGCCGCGGGGGACCCGCCCGGACCCCGCCCAAGCAGGGTCCACGCACAGGACGAGGACTTGGCCGCCACCACCGGAACCAGGCAGTTATCTGGGAACCGAGAGGGAGACAGGAGTGAGGGGCCTGCCGGCCCCCCTGCCACCCCAGCCCTGGCCCCTGCCACTCACTAGGAGCCTGGGGACACGGGCCCTCCCTGGGCAGAGTCGCTGGGTGCTGAAGGTGGCTGGGGGGCCTGGGCACTGTCGGGAGAGAGGGACGTGACTGGTCAGGGCCACCCCCGTGACGACCCCCCACCCACCACAGGCCCGCCCGTGCTCACCTCTGGCTTTCAGGGAGCCCCGAGGGTTTGGGGCTCTTCTCCCCTTCCATGGTCTGGAGAAGCTGGGGGGCCCCGGGGCTTGGGACAGAGGTAGCAGAGTCTCTGGTTGCACTGTGGGGCAAGTCAGCGGGCTGGTCACCAAGGCTCCACGGGACACTGTCGCCCAGAGCAAACGTGCAGGCAGGGAGCCGACCCAGACCCCGGGGCCGACCCAGGCAGAAGCTGTAGGTCTCCTGGGGCCTGGGCTCGGCACACTCCCCGCCCACTGCCGGCTCTCCTGGATGCCCCCCCCCACACACAGGCGCCCACGGGGCTGGGCGGGCGGCCCTGGGCTCAGGGCCCAGATGAAATCCGGGAGCACAGGCCCAGGCCCGGGCAGCCTCCAAGGGCCACCTGGAGCAGCTCCGGGGCAGGGACAGGCCCCAGGCTCAGGCTCCAGTCACCTCCCTCACAGGCCCCAGATCCCCTAACCCGCCCAGAAGCTGCTCCCTAGCCAGTCACCTGTCCAAGGAGCTGGGGACAGAGCTCGTCCCTCTGAGGGTGGCCTGGAAGTCCCTGACGCTGACCAAGGCCTGACAGGGGGCTGTGGGAAAGAGGGGCCAGGAGACATGAGACTGTACACTCCGACCAGCTCAGGGTACAGTGGGTGGGAGAGTGCGGGGTGAGGGAGAGTGTGGGGTGAGAGGCAGCGTGGGCAGGGGCTCACCTGAGAGCTCTGCTACTTTGCTGCCGTCGGAGGCTTCCTGAGGTGCAGAGGGAGGTGTGGGGTCCTGAGACCTGGGAGGGGAGAGAAGCGGCCCGTGGAGACGCTGCGGGGGTCCTGGAGCCCCGGGGAGCCAGGACCCAGGGCCGTGCCCCGGCAGCGTCTCCGGGCCTCACCTGAGCTGCAGGGGACTGGGTGCCACAGGGCCGGCTGGGCTTGGGGCAGGGACGCCCAGGGGCCCCTGCGGGGCGAGGGGCCCGGAGCACGGCTCCTTCTCCCGGGAGCCCTGGGGGCTGGTCAGGGCGTCTGTAGGCACTGAGTCAAAGGTGGCCGTCCAGCTGGGGCCTGGGGCAAGGACAGGGGGGCGGTGAGGCCGGCAGGCAGGCGCCCGCCCGCGCGCCACCACACCCACCCTGCACATACACCCACCAGGAGGCTGGGGGCTCGGGCTGGGGTAAGAGGGCCTGGCCTCCTCTCGGGCCACCCGGTCGTCCTCCTCCTCCTCCTCGTCATCCTCGTCCTCGTCCTCCTCCTCCTCCTCGCTGTCTGTGCTGCCTCCACTCCTGCCCCCAGAACCAGTCATCAACCACTGCGCTCCAGCAGGGATAGAGCGGGAAGGCGCCCTGTCCCCACCCCAGTGTAGGAGCCAACAGATGGTGAAAGGGGCAGAGGGCGTGGTGGGGACAGGACAGGTTGGGCAGACGCCAGACTCTCCCGTCCCAGAGCCGGGCAGGCAGCCCTGGGCCAGCGTCACAGGCAGGACGGCCCCGCCACCTGCAGAGAGGCTCCCGCAGCAGCACGGTGACAAGCCCCCAACGACAGACGCAGGGGGTCAAGGGGGACCCTCGTCACCTCTATGTCCTCACAGAGGGCAGCTGCTCCAAAAACACTTGGAACTGTTGACTGACATGGGACTCGAGGCAGGGGACAAACTCCCACTGGACAGTGTCCACCCACGGGAGGTGCTGAGCAAAGGCCGGCCCCACGCCTCTGTCCACGGCGGGAAGGGCTCCCCCTGCTCAGCACTGAGAATACACTGGAGACTCGGCCCACAGGGGACAGAGGGCAGCACCCCAACCCCAGGGGGCGGTTCCCAACCCCCCGCCTGCCCACAGCCAGTGCCCGCGGGGCCGGGAACAAGCTGGGGCCACTCCCCTGTGTGGGCCTGACGTCGCCCTGGACAGCGAGGAGGCCCGGCAGTGACCGCAGAGAGCCCAGCGCGGGGAGGCGGCCGGGACACCACAAGGACAAACCTGCACGGGGGACGCCTGAGCCGCAAACACGTCCACTCACGTCAAAAAGGTCGAAAACAGAAACAAGAACACTCAGGAGCAAGTGCCACAGAAGCAGAGTGCACGACTTACACTCCGAAGACGCCACAGCGCTCCCGCCAGGAGGGCCCTCCGCTCCCAGGGAGACTCCCGCGCCCGCACTCGCTCGCCCCGGAGCCAGACACCACCAGAGCAGCCTCGCACCTGCCCGCCTGTGCCCGGCCACCGCCCCCCCCCAGCACACACCGTCCTGCCAGGCTCCGCCCTGGACACCAACACGTCAACACGCCAACCCCGGGGAACCGGCACAACCCTGAACAGTGGCAGGACCCACACTGCCCAGTTTCACACCCCCTACAACACCACAGTGAGGAGGCACCCAGGCCGGCGCCCGGGCGGACCTCCGCAAGAAAGCAGAACGGCACCCTGCCTGCCGCTCAGAGCGGGTCAAAACCTACGCACGACGGCTAACACTGCACAGTCTTAGGGAACCACCAGGGAATCATGGCCTTGGACCGAGCTGGTCACACCCACCCCAGGGAGGGCCTCACAAGCAGAAGAGCCAAAACCCACCCCCGGAGCAACAACAAATCCAGGCAGCGGCACCCTGGGCAGGGCCGCCCCAGGCGGCACACTCAGGACACCCCCACTCGCACAGGTGCTGCTCACAGGCCCACTGAAGACGTAAGATGCTCCGGTCCTCTCATCGGAAGCCCGGAGGCAGAGGCCCCGCAGCAGGCACCAGGCTGTCTGCACGGGAGACCTCCATGGCAGGGCCCCCGGGCCACTGGTGGCCAGGCCAGCCGGCGCAAAGGAAGATCACCTCACGGTGGCACAGAGAGGGGACACAGCTGACTGACACATGGCTGAAGAAGGGACCGCCTGCCCTTTTACTGAAACGAGGGAAGATAAGCCACCGGGCCATCCCACAGCCTCTGCAGAAGCACGGGCGTGACAGCTAACATCACAGAGCAGAGTCGGGGGACGAGTGGGACACTGCTGCAGGCACACCTGGACCCTGCCGCACCTGAAGGGCCCCCGGTGCTCCAGACACACACCAGCTGGCACCCTAGTCCTGCAGGGGCTGTGCCCAGCAGAACTGGGTTTCTGCCACTCAGAACTCAAAGCGCCCCAGCCTACACACACCCCGGTCCCCGCAGGCTTCCTGCACTCGGGCTGATGGAAGCAGTGAGTGTCCCTCCTCCACTGCTCCCTGCGTGCCGTGCAGCACCCCCCCCGGGCCAGGGCCTGGCAAAAGAGGCAAATGTGGACTCACCGCACACTCGAGGGCGGGCCCAGGCGGGCACCCCTGGCCAGCTGGCGGCCCTGCCAGGCGCCGTCCTCCCCATCGGACTCCCCAGAGCCCGGGCCCTCCTCCTCCTCCTCCTCCTCCTCGTCATCATCAAACTGCTGGATCCGGTCCTTGTAGCAAATCTCCAGCAGGTTGGCGTTGGGCTGCAGCGGGCAGGGGTGGGGAGGTGGGTAGGTGGGGGGTGGCAGTGCCCGCAGCTCCCACGGCCAGGGACGGGGCAGCACTCACGTTCTCGTCGTCGGCGTGGAGGGAGAAGGTGATGTTGGCGGTCTTGTCGAACGGTGCGCTGGGAGAGAAGCGGGGGCAGTGAGGGCGGAGGGGGCCAGGGCGGCTGAGGCGGGCTGCCCCCTGCCACTCTCTGCGACGCCCCGGCTTGCCACCGCCTCCCTGCGCCCCACGCCCGCACTCCCGTCCCGCCTGGACAGAGGTGCCAAGGGGACTGTGTGGAGCAGGAACCCCATCTCGACCGTCCCCTCATCCTCCCCCCGGACCCCAGCCCTTTGGTGCCCTGGCCTCCACCCTAAGGGGCCAGCCGGGCCCTTCTCTGTCTGTCCCCCTACCACCCGCCTCAGGGGATCACGGGCTCCTTTCTTCAAAAGGGACCTTTTCTACTCAGAGGGCACAGGGTCCCTGGTGCCATTCACAGGCACTCCCCTCAGGGCCGTGCGGGGCAAACTCTGTTCCCAGCCCCAGGCCCCTCAGCCCATGGTGCACAGGAGGAGACCAGACCCACACGGGGGACCTGCCCCGAGACAGGCTGACAGTGGCAGAACCAGGCTCAGAATGGGGGCCCCGGGCGGGTGGGGAAGAAGCCACGGCAGCCGCTCCCACCTGACCACGTGTCCCCTGAGCTCATTCGAAGGCCGCCTGCCCCTTCGCTGTCTACCTGGTGCTGTCACAAGGTAGGTGGCCTAAGTAGTTTACAAAACTGCGTGTGACAGAAAATGATAAATATAAGGAAAGACACCTGTTATCACTTCATTAGACACTGCCACAACTAATACGAGAGCGGAACTGGTCGCTGGGAAGTAACCTCAGGCCCCAAGGCCTCTGGGCCCATCCATCTCACACGCCGCCAGAGACCCAGGGCGGAGGTGGCACGGGTGGCTGGGGCCCCGGGGCGGGCGGCTGCACAGGGGGGCGCACTCACTTCACACTCTCCTCCTGCTCCCCAAATTCCTCGTCGTTGAAGCCAAAGTGGTCGATGAAGGCCGAGGTCATGCGCTGCATCTGGAAATCCACGAAGGCCTGCAGGGGCCGGCAGGGCGGCGGTCAGGGCTGGCAGGCGGGCGAGCAGGCGGGGCGGGTGGGACGGGCGGAGACGGGTGGGGGGGGGGGCCCTGCAGCCCAGGCTCACCTGCTGCAGCACGGCCTCCTCGGGGAAGCTGAACTCCTTGAGCCGCTCGTCCTCGTCGTCGCTGGAGGAGTGCAGGTGGTGGGTGTTCACCTGGGTGGGCGGGAGGCGGGTGTGAGGGGCCGCGGCTGGGGGGCGGCCGTGGGGACTGCAGGGGGCGGCAGGGGCCTCACCAGGTCCACCATGTTCTTCTTGTTGGTCTCGGCCAGGGGTCCCGACACGAAGGCCTCCCACTGCTCCTGCTGCTCAGCCGGCAGTTCTGCTGGGGGAGGGACGAGGACGGGGGTGGGACACGGCCCTCGGCCCCCAGCACCCCACCTCCGGGACCCCCTGCCTCAGGGGAGCCCCCGCCTCACCCTTCAGCAGCTGCCTCAGCTGCTCCGAGTTGGGCCCCTTCTCCATGTTCTGCACCAGGGCGTTGGCCATTCTCGTCAGGTGGCCCATGTAGCCTTTCCGAGGGCCCCCTGTGGACCTGGGTGAGGACGGACGGAGGATGGACACAGGCCGCCTGCGCCCACCCCCCCCCCCCCCGCCCAGAAGGAAGGAGGGACACTCACTGCACGCGGTCGTTCTCCTCCCAGGACGTCAGGATGCGCTCCACCAGCCGGCCCTGCTGCAGCAGCTGTGGGAGGGGCCAGCCAGGGTCACGGGCCAGCCCCCCCACCCCCGCCCCCCCCAGTGAGGGAGGGACAGAGGTGCCCACCACCGAGGGTGTGCCACACCCCTGCCAACAGTCTGCACTCTGCCTGTCCAGTCCCACTCAGCCCACACAACGCACACTGAGCCCCCGCTGAGCTGCCCCTCCCTGAGCCCCGGCTACCCCCAGAGCGGCACCCCCGTGGGCCTCGGTAGCCACCGCCCTGGGAGGGTCCTTCTCGGATGCCCACTGACTCCCAAGGCCTCCTGGTAACTCACCTCCCCGAACGCCACCCTGCGCCTTCTAGGAAGGACCTAGGACAAGCCCGAGCCCCGACCCTCAGGACGTGAAGTCCCCCACCAAGTGCCGGCTCCAGGACAGATGAGGGTCAGAGAGTGGGCAGAGCCCGCCCCGGGGAACTGAGGGTGCCCAGGAGCCCCAGCTCACATGTTTCACGATGGGGTTTGGGTCAGGCGTCTCGAGGCTGCTGTCAGAAGGGGGCCCAGTGCTCAGCATGGTGCTCACACACACCTCCACTTGGGTGTGCAAGAAATTGTTGAACACGTAGTGGAAGAAGAGATCCTGGAAGCAGGGCGCAGGCTCACTCAGAGGGGCCCCAGAGGCCCAGTCCCACGGCCCCACCCACACCCATGACCCCGCCCTCCCTATGACCCCGCCCTCCCATGCCCCGCCCCCGCACCAGCATGGTGTTGGGCACATCCAGCGCCAGGAGCTCCTGGGTCAGGGCCGCGTCATTGGCACTCAGGGTGCTGGCCAGCAGCTTGACCACGTGCAGCCGCGTGGTGCCCAGCGGTGGGGCCAGGGTGCCCCAGGTTGTGCACAGTGGCTCTAGCTGCAGACACAGAGGAGGCACTGTTCTGGACCTGCAGCGTGGGGCCCAGGTTCGACCTTCCCAGCCACCCCCACCCCAACCTGCCCAGCTCACCTCTGGGGGCTCCAGCAGGAGCTCATGGAAGCGGCCGAGTCGAGGGCGCAGGGCATGCAGGGCGCCCACGCAGGACACAGCGCTGTCCAGGGTGGCCTGGGCCAGCAGCTCCAGCTGCCCGTCCACGGTGCTGAAGAAGTTGTTCACGATCACAGACTCAGACCTGCAGAGGGGCCAGGGCAGGGAGCAGAGTGAGCCGTCCAGGCGGCCTGGCACGTACGTGTGCACGAGCACGTCTGCAGAGGAGTGTGAAGCTGCTGCCAGCTGGGTAGCGAGGGGAGGGGCCCAGGCAGGACAGGCTGGAAGCCCCAGGATGTCTTAGCCCGGTTGCCCAAGGGACCCTGGATGCCAACGGCCAGCTGGGAGCTACGGGCAGTGGACTTGGCCTGTTTCCTCCACTATCAGGTGGGAACAGGAGGACTCCTCTCCGGGCCCACAGTGACCACTGTGAGGTGGACACCACTTGTGGAGCGATGCCCTGTGACCGCCACCCCAACCAGGAGGCTGCCCCCTCACCGTGGCCTCCTGGGCTCCAGCAGGGTCAGCAGCACCTGGATTCCGCTGACAAGGACGGATGGGCTCAGCTCCCCCTCCAGCATGTTGCTCAGAAGCTGCTCGATCGTCTCCTGCCTGGGGCGAGGGGGAATGGAGGTGAAGGGCCTGGGACCCCGGCCCCCAGGACAGACTCCCTCCCTGGGCCAGGGCGCAGCCAGCAAACCCACTTCTCCAGGGTGGCCAGCAGCTGGTCAGGCTCCGGGCTGTCCTGCACCTGGATCATCTGCTCCCGGCTCAGGCGGATGATGTCGCACAGGGACTGGGAGGCGTTGGAATGTTGCTGTGGAGGCGAAGAGCGCGCTGGGGACCCAGTCGAGCCACCGGACCCTCCACGGCCTCGTGCTGGGACCCCCATGAGTTGACCACCTGGCCCTAGCCCTTGGGGATGGCAGGAGAATGACACAGACACAGGGACACAAGTCCCAAGGGAGGACGCTCAAGGTACCAGACACTGGGAGGGGAGAGACAGCAGACAGGGAAACCAAGGAAGGCCTGGTGGAAAAGGAGAGGAGACACCGCACAGAAACCTGCACCATTCACAGCTGCCAAAGAAGGGGCGTCCGCCACCAGTGAACGGGGAGCAGCATGGTCTGCCACCACAGAACGTCCCTCAGCCTCAGACAAGGCAAGGCGCCAAGGAGCCGCAACACAGGCACATGCAGACACGGTGCTGGGGCAGGGAGGCCAGCAGGGACCACGTGCCGTGGGGCTCCACGTGTACAAGACGCCCAGGAGAGGCGAACCCAGGCACAGCAGTGCCATGGCGGCTGCCGGGACTGGGGCACCACCAGGGCGGTGGGACTGACAGCTCGTGGGCTCAGGGTTCCTCCTGAAGCGATGAGACACACCCCCACCTAACTCAGGGACGGCTGCAGGACTCTGGGAATGTACTAGAAGCTACTGAATCCCACGGCACAAACGAACGGGCCGTGCAGTACACGACTCCCAGGCTGCTACCAACAAGAAAGCAAGAGCCAAGTACGAGCAGAGCACTGGGTGCAACCCGACAGGGCCGACAGGCAGGCCTGGGACCCACGCAGGCTCACAGTGGGCACCCTCGTCCCTCTGCCACAAAGGCCTGAATGGCTGTCACCCCCCTGGGATGGGCGCTGGCTGGGCCCCAGGTACTGACACCTGCATGTGTGGGCAGGGAAGAGCTGAGGCCCCACGAGCTACTGGTGAGGACGGGCCTCCAGGTGGACTCTCTGAAGGATGAGCAGAGCATGTCCAGGCACAGCGCCTGGAGTCAGAGGACACCCCAGACCTGAACCCTGCAGGGAGAGCGGGCCAGCTCCCGGGCTCCGGCAGGAGTTCCCACGCGTGTGCAGCCCCTTCTCTGCTCTGCCACTACCTCAGCGAGGGCAAGGGGCACACACACACTCGATTCCCGATCTTCCTTTTTTCATTGATTCCGCCTGAGAGGAGGAGGCCTAGTGTCTGGGACACTCACATTGTCATCTTTCGATGGGTGGATCTGCTCGATGAGCCGCTGGACAATCTTCTCCTCGTTGAGCCACTTGGGGTGGGAGAGAAGGCGGGGCCTCACTCACTGACCCAACCTGCAGGCCCCGCCCCTCCGGGCCCCGCCCCTGCTCCCAGCTCACGTTGACCACTTCCTGCCTCAGCTGGGGCCGCTCCACGCAGGTGAGCAGGCGCAGCAGCAGGTCCATGATGGCCGAGGTGCCGATGTGCTGCAGCAGCAGGTCCACAAAGTCGTCCTTCTTCCGCAGGAAGGACACGAGCTGGGGGCGGGGGCACGTCAGATGGTGGCCCCGGTGCCCGCCCCCCCACCCACCCAGCAGCTGCGGCGCCCAGGACGGCGGGCACCTGGTCCGTCTTGCGGTTGATGAGGATGCCCATGACCTTGCTGAAGAAGCTGGCCAGCAGTGGGTTGAGGCAGTCACTGCTCTGCAGGAAGCCGTAGAGTCGGTTCAGCAGGGACTCGTCCGCACCCAGGGCGTCATTGATCTGGGGCACGTCCGCCGTCAGGATCTCACAGGCCACACTGGGGTACCTGGGAGGGGTGGGAGGGCAGGCAGCTGTCACATCCAGACAGGGAGGCAGAGAAGGGGGAGGTGGGGGGATTCTCGCCTCCCTGTCAGAACCGCCCGGTGAAGGCGATGTCCTCCCTCCTGACCACCCACTCCCAAGCCTGCCATCTCCTGGACATCCGCCTGCCACCGTCCACAGCCCTGCCCAGGCCGCCGTCAGAGCTTCCCCTACACAGTCTGACCAGGTGACCTCTCCGAACCCCACTCTCGCCCCCCCCTCCCTTCCCCACACCAGTTCCAGGGCCACCCTGCCCAGCAGGCCCCCCAGACCTGGGTGAGTTCGACCTGCTTGAGGCGCCCTGTGAACGCAGGGCCCGTGTGCCCCGCCCCTGGGTTCCTCGGAGCGCGGCAGGGCCCCCAGGGGCTGGGACAGCACGGGGGTCAACACAGAGGCTCCCTCAGCATCTCCCCACTCCTGTGAGCCACAGCCCAGGCCTCGCAGCCACTGGACATGCTTGAGGGAGGGGGGATGGCAGAAGGGGAACGGTGGACAGAGGCCCAAGCAGAGGGGGGAAAAGACACACGCGGGACCAGGCGTCTGATGGATAGGTGGACGTCAGGAGGCAGGGCAGACTCTGCGGACCCCGCCCGGGGCCCCTGCAACCGCCTCCCTGAAGCCCCACTTCACAAAGGGCAAACTGAGGGGCAGCCTTCACCCACGCACCACCTGGCTCAAAAGACACACAGCCAGGGCAGGGCAAGGGGGGCTGGGCAGAGGGCGGTGCCAGGGAACTGGGAGTGGGACCGGAAGGGAGCCCACGACTGGTACAATCTGTGCAGGGCCCAGGAAGGGCAGCAGAGCCCAGGCCAGACCCAAGCCCGCAGTTACGGCAACTGTGCCCCCAACCCCCAGGGCTCCAAGTACCCACGAAGTGACTGGGGACAGGTGGAGAGAAGGGCGGGGGGGCATGCCGAAGGGGACGGCGGCCACCAGGGCCCATGCCAGCTCAGCTCACAGCTGTGCCCTGGGCTCGCGGCACCACGCTGGACACTGGGAGGACTCTGCTCCAACAATGGGAATGTGCAAGGGAATCACAGGCAGAACAGTGCTGTGTGGAGTTGCAGGGCTTGCTGTAAGCCACCAGGGCCTGTGGGCCATCAGGCCCGCGGGCCATCCTGGGCAGTCCCCCGGGGGAGGGAGGAGGGGGCGGTCAGTGTGCGGGGAACTCTGTGTTCCCTCTCACAGCTGCATGGGACTCCAGAGTCACGGAGACCAAAACCCGATGGAAGAAACACCAGGAGGAAGAAGACAGGGTGGGGGTGGGAGCCGCCGAAAAAAGACTGGCCGGACGCTGCTCCCCAGGGGCCTCCTCCCCCGGCACTGGAGGCCATGTGCAAACCCCCAGCAGACGCGCGTCTGCAGTCCCACTGTGCGTGCTCCGCAGCACAGGCCTCCCTGCCTGGGCTCCCTGATCCCACCCGTCCCCACGAGGAGTCCCCTGGACGGGGCTGGGGGAGAGTGGGGACGGGGGCTCACTTGTAGCGCAGCCGCTCCTCGCCGCTGGCCGGCGGCTCCTGGGTCACCCAGGCCACCATGGCTTGCAGGTGTGGCGGCCGCAGCAGGAAGTCCAGCAGCTTGCGGTTGACAACCTTGCACTCCTGCAGGACGTCCTCCTCGTCCAGCAGCTCGGGCAGGCTCAGGTCCTCTCGCTCCAGCAGCGTGTCCAGGTGCGAGCTCGTGTGCAGGTCAAACTTCCAAAACATGGCGCCCTACGGGCAGGGGCCGTCAAACACTGAGCCCCGCCGGCCGGCCCAGGCAGCTCACCAGACCCGGCACCTACCCACCCCACTCCCCCCGTCCAGAGCCCTGAGGCCCAGGGGGCCACTTCACACCTGAGGCCAACTGTCCAGCCCAACCCTAGCCCCCAGGGTGCCCAGGGCCCTCAAGGCTGAGCCCTGAAGCTGGGCATGGTGCGACCACAGTCCTGCCCACAAGGGCCTGTGTCCACTGTCCCGTCTGGCAGGAACCCCTGGGGCAGGGCCAGAGCTCTGCTCATCCTGGGACCCCTGATGTCAGGCTCACCTCAAGCTGCATTTGCTGAGCCCCATGACGGCCGGCACTCGGCCACCATCCAGCCCAGTGAACAGCATGTAGTGGAGGGTGTGGGGCAGTGGTGGGCAGAGAGAAGTCTGTGCCGTTGCCTGGACGCCACACACACACACACACACACACGCACACACTCTCACTCTCTCAACCTCCTCCCACCCACGGTCCAGGACAGGGAACAGGAAAATGGGGGGGGCGCTCCCCAAACAGCCACTGATGGGCCCAAAAGAAGCAGGACAGGTGGGTAACTGGCTCAGCAAGGACAGGCCTGCTCCCAGCCCCTGGAGAATGGTGCCCTTGCTCTGCCCCTGCGTGCCTGGCCGTGGCCTGGCCCACCTGACACAGGTCGCTGATGACGTCAGGCATCGGGAGGCCCTCCTGTGGTGTGCTCTCCAGGTGCTGGGCTGGCCCAAGCCCCTGCTGCACAGGGACTCAGCCGCCCGGGGAGCCTGCAGGCCCCTGGGTCCAGACCAGTGGCCGCAGACCGCCCTGAGCTCGCAGCCAGGCTCCCGTGCCGCTGTCCTCCCTCTGGGAGTCCACTGAGCCTCAGGCGCTGTCCCCACGGCCCCGTCTGAGGGCCATTGTCACTCCATTGCACAGTGGGCAACTTGCGCACGACTAAGTAGGGGGCTCTGCAGTCCAGCCCAGGCACTGACTAAACGCCACACCTTTCACCTGCCTTGTGAGATCGACCTGAAGTGGAGAGACCCAGCGGCCAGGATGCCCCTCCTGGGCACCCCCAGTGCCTCTCCTACAATGCCCTCCAAGTCTGCTCGGCCCCATGACACCCTGGCCATGGACAGAGCAACAGCCCAAGGAGAATAAGGCTGACTCAGGAAGCAGCTGGGCTGCACCAGGGCGGAGCCAGTAGGTACAAGGGACCACCTGCTAAGCCTCTGTCCATTCGAGGCACAGTGACACCCAGCTCTCCTCTCCAGCCTCCACAGCAGCCCCAGTGGCCTCAGCCACCCAGGGGACCTCCTTCCTGGCTGAGACCAGGAACAAGTGGCTCTACATCTGCCACAGTCCCGATGGCACGCGTTCCTGCTCCTCAGCCCTGGCCAACCAGCCCTCCACACCCCACCCCATACAGGCCACTTTTCTGAGACACGAATCCAAGTGTCTCGTGATGGTTCCAGGCCCAAAGCCCCCAGTGGGGCCCTCCACCCCCGCCCACCTCTGTCCGCCGTGTCCTGGTCACGTGTCCCAACCTGCCCTGCACCGCCGCCATCCCACTGACAAGGCATGTGCACCATGCATGCTCTGGCTGGTCAGAGCCCAGCAGAACCTTCCTCACCAGGCTGCCGTCAGCACCGGGGCACAGCGGTGAGCACAGAACCTGGCACACAAACCTCAGCTGGGGGGCCTGGGACCAGAATCGGCTCAAGGGGCGGCTGCCACCTGGGCCACAAGAAGCAAGGACCGTGACGTGGTTTTACCTCCTGTTTCTATACCGACGACTTCTGAGCAGCAATAGGGGGACCAGAGAGGCCGAAAGGCTGCCCAAGCAGAGAGAGTGAAGCAGTCACCGAGGACCCGGTGCCAGAAGATTCCAAGTAGAAACAGACAGCAGAGGAGTGGTTTTCAGAGGTGGGGGAAGGCGACTGCTAATAGGAATAGTGGGGTTTCCCTTGGGGGGGGGTGTTCAGACAAAGCCTCCCAGGACATTCTGAAATCGATGACACACACGTGCACTCATCAGTCACACCCCCACTGAAATCCTGCTTGGTGACGGCGGCCTGGTGGTGACTGTACCAGAAGCCGCTGAACCCTGCACTATAAATGGGTGAATCGTAAGGTGTATGAATTACATCTGCACAAAAACCGTTACCAAAACAAACAAACCCAGAGCTGCCGAGTGTGCCTGCCTTGCCGGGGCCAGGCCAGGCCTCGCTTCCTGTCCCAGGCGCCCGCACTGACAGGGTGCCAGCTGCCCACAGAGCTGAGGCACAGCAGGGCTCCGCCCTGGGGAGCCGGCCAGGTTCCCCCTTCCCACCTTGCCACCCACCTCCCGAGCTAAGTAGCGTCCCCCTCCCCACGGGGGACAGGGCAGGGCCCAACCAACCCTGCAGAGAACCCGTGCACCCACATGGGGTACCCTGTGCCATGTCATCGAGGTGACAAGGTGCAGCACTGTTTTTACTTGCACCTGACAGAGGCAGAGATGCAGGCTGGCAGGAAAGAGCCCTGGCTGCCACTGCCAAGGGGCAGACCCCCATCCTGGACTCCACCCGCCCACTTCCAGAGCGCAGGGTTAGAGGGTGCAGGCTACAGCCCCACCCCCGAGTCCCCACTCCAACTGCCTCCGGGGCTTCACAACCTAGGTGGCCCAATAAACCCTCAAAACCTCGGGGGGCGCCTCTGAAAATCAGGAGGCCGCCAGCACCAGATGCAACCGAGTGGTGGTCGGTTCTCCACGGTAAGCAGAATGCGCATGCAGACACAGGGCAGGGAAAGTTTTTTTGAGTTGAAAAAGGGACAAAACTAAAATTCCCCGCCACAAACTCCCAATTCGCTCCAGGCCCAAGCCCTGCAGGCCAAGCTCCTCTCCCCACTGACCAGAGCTCCGGAGGTCGTGGGAACCGGGCCCGAGAGGCGGGCCTCCTCCTCACTCTCTGACAGTGAGCTGAGCTGGGGGCCGGCACCTGGCATCCGGGAGCCCGGTTTCCTGTCCGTGAAACGGGGGCACTGCCAGCCAGGAAGGGCCGTGCTGTGAGCACAGCCAGGTCAGGCAGGTGACAGGCCAGAGCATGGCAGGTGCTGGCTTCGTCCTGTCCTGTCTGTCCCTGCAGCCACGCTGAGGCCAGGACACTTGTGGTAGGAGGGGAGGAGACCGCCACGCTGCAGGGTGACAGCACTAAAAACAAGAGCAAGGCCAGAGAGGCTCGGCCGGGCGGCCCGGGTGACTCAGGTCGTTCAGACATGCCGGGCGGGAGCCACACTCCCCGCCACCCCCACCCTCTTCAACTTTTAGCAATCTTCAAGAAAACGGAAGTGACTACCACGGGCTCTTAGCGACCGTTTGAAAACCAAGGCCCACGGCAAACAGAAGAGGGGAAACTGCCTGAGAAAGGAAGCCATCAGACACACAGCACCTCTCCCGCGCCAGCGCCACACCATGGGTTCCCGCTCTGTGGGTGCTTCTCTGGCCTCCTGCGTGGCTCAGCCGGGGCCCCACTGCTGCTCCCACAGAGCCCCCCCTGTTGCCGCTGTAGCCACCCATGTCCAGACACACCTCCACCTGCTGGGAGCCCACGGGCACCCCCTTCCTCACCTGCTCTGGCCCCAGAGTACACAGAAGTGGAGGTCAAGGGGGACAGGTGCCTCCGGGAGGGCCTCCGGGGTGGCCACTGAAGCCGCCCAGAGGCTCAGCAGAGGCTTCAGTGTTGGGACAAGCCACCTGGGACCTGCTGACCACTGCTACCCTCAGCCATCACAGGCCACCACCAGCTGCTCTAGGCAGACAGGCTGGATGAGCCCCACTGCTCGCCGGCCAGCCCCCAGCCCCTTGCAGGCCCAGCAGATCAGAGGACAGAGACCACCTCCCTCCAACTCCCCCCAACCCACCCACTGTCAGCTCTCTGCCCAATCTAGAAAGGGGATGGGGAGCTTCCAGTGCCAGGGATGGAGGGACGGTAACAGCAGGGCCCTGGTGGGTGCTGCCACAAAACCCAAGACAGACCCAGAGAGGCAGGCAGCGGGACGCCCATCTGGGAGAAAAAGCTAGAGAGGGCCCCGGCCAAGGCCACATGGGGTGACAGCCCGGGGCCTTACTGTGGCTCAGGAGAGACTGGGGGGGTGCCTCGCCCACTGACCCCGGAGCAGACTCTCCTAGGCAGGTGGCTGCACTGGTCCAACCCCAGGAGATGGAGAAATTAGGAAACAAGAGACTGGAGAGGGACACAGGGCCAAGCACTGAGATGGGGCAGGAGAGCTCACATTTAGGACAGTCTCCAGGACGGGTCATGGGTTAAAAGAAAAATGCCTACACAATAACGAATAGATTTGGAACACAGAGTGGCAGAGTGAGTGTCACAAGGTGATGCAGTCAGAAGGCCTGGGTTCCAACCCTGCCTGTCTGGACTGAAACCTCAGTGACCTGAGACCAGGGACTTAACCCTAAGGAGCCTCAGCACCTGCGAGACACCTCAGGGTTGGGGTAAGACCACACTTCCCCCAGGAAGGTCCATGGGAAAACCCGGGCTTGGCCTTGAAAGGAGGGCGTGTCCCCACCCCGGGCGCTGATGAGCCTGCCCACGAGGAGCCCGGGGCCCAGGCCGCCACGGAGGCTTCTCACTCTCACCAGCACTCCTGGGCCTCTCTCACCTCCTCTCTGGCTGCCACCCGCATGGCACTCAACTCTCCCGCCACACCTGCCTGCTCCTCTGCGCCCTCGCCTCTGCCCTGGCCCAGCTGCTCCCTCTGCTCTCCTCCAACTCTTCGAGCCTGCCCAGCTCCTCCTGGGTCCTTCAGGCTTCAGCGCAGACACCACTTCCTCCAAGAAGCCTCCCCTGACTGCGTGAGGGGCCTGTTCCACACTTTCCGCAGCTTCCGTGGTCACCTTGTGACAGCGTCTGAGGGCTCTGTGACAGCATCTGCCTATTGGGTCACCTGCTTCCCCCCACCAGATGCCTGTTTCCCAGGACCCAGCCTAAGAGCAGGCCCAGAGCTAAAGGTACTTGTCGAATGAATGAAAACCGAAGGTCACCTGGCCACAGAGCCCGGAAAACAGTTGTTCTCCTCTAACGCAAACAAACAGTGAATGGCCCGACAACAAATGACCAACAACGTGGAAGCATGTCAAATACACAGCCACTCTGGAGAAGCAACGGAGCGGACAGGCCAAGAGGACATCACACCCCAGCAAGAGAGCAGGGTGGGGCAAGAGAGCAGGGTGTAGCCCCAGTGGCCCTACCCACACGCTGCTGTGGGGCCTGTCCAGGGCACTTGCAGGGTGTTCCCCAGCACCACTGCACTCTGCCCGTCAGACCCCAGCAGCACCCCCTGCCCCAGCTGCCACAACAACGAAAAATGTCTCCAACCACTGTCAAAGTGTCCCCAGGGGGACATGATCACCTCCAGGTGAAAACCACTACAATAACTGATCCGCAGACATGTAATAAACCCTAAACGCTGCCCAGCCCTGGCGCCCTGCACTCTGCTCCACAGTGAGTGCACCGGGACCCCTGGCGCAGCCGAGGCTGGGCGCGCTGATGGCCCTGCCACTTCTTCACAGTCCACTGACGTTGCTGTGCGACTCTCAGCCCAGTTCCGCCCCTGACAACCTCCTTCCTTTGCAGAAACAGCCTGCTTTTGAGGCTGGTGGTATCAGTGACGTATGGGTCGCCAGTATAGAGATGCGGGCATGTCACAGAGCAGCAAGAAAGACCCAACCAGGCCACCCTCCAGGCTCCTGGACGAGCAGCCCCCTGAGATAGTCAGGCCACTCTCTCCCAACACATCTGCACCCTGATGGCTTCTGGGGTCTCCCCTGCACCTATTTGCATGTCCTGGTTCTTCCACAGGGAAGGCCCTTCTTCCCACCACAGTCTGTCAACTCCTACACACCCTTCCTAGACAGAAAACCCCACCCGCTGAGCCCGTCTCACCAGTGCCTCACCTCTGGGCCTCTGATGGCACCCCGAGTGACCTCTATCCCAGGGCTAGTCATTGTGACTATCCTGCTCTGCCTGAGTCTCCCAGGGCTGGTCCCCCTCCCTCAGCGCCCAGCACCAGGCTCCCAGCCATGCCCTCGGCAGGCCGTGTCTCCCAGAATGGGACTCAGTGGTGGCTGCTCCACAGAAGTACCTCCCAAAGCCCAGCTCACAAGAAGCCCAAGCCACAGGGCGGGCGAGCCCAGACAGGGTGAAGAGAAGCCCCACTCCCCGCGGCAGTCGTCCTGGGCCCAAGGGTGAGAGACGCCAAATCGATGGCAGGGGACAGGGACCGAGGAAGTATGGGGTGTCCATGAGAAAGGTCTGAGGAAGGAAAGATGAGGGTGGGGGTCGGCAGAGGAGTGAGGTTGGGTCCCAGGGCATAGGGGGAGGTAGGGGGGCAGAGGGAGAAGAGGCCGGCCAAGGTGGGCTGGAGGAGGGCAAGGCCAAGGGGAACGCACTAAATAAGAGGCTAGAGGTGCGCCCAAAAGGAAGGAGGTGGGGTGGGGACGACCAACCGGGGAAGAGACTGAGGGGGGGGGGGCTGAGAAAAAGAGTCTAAGGGACTTGGGGCACCCGACTGAAGGGATCCCCAAGAGAAGGGAAGGGTCCAAGGAGAAAGGCTGAGGAAACTCGAAGGTACCAGGCAGAGCAGCCAGGGACGGGGCGCGGAACTCGGAGTGCCGGGCCTGGGGAAGAGCCGCGAGTGGCCGCTTACCTGCGCGGGGGGGCGGCGGCGGCTCCTCGCACTCCGGGCTCATCGGGGCGCCCCCCCCGCCCCGCCGCCAGCGGCTCTGGCTCTGTTCGGGAGCCCGGTTCGTGGGGGCGGGGGGCGGCGAGGTCTCACGAGGGCGCAGGCGCTGCGGCCGGGGCCGGAGCTCGCGCACGCGTCCTCGAGCCTACGGGGCGGCCCGCGAGCACCCAGTTCCAGAGTTCGGGGGGCCGCGCCGGCTGGGTGTGGGGCCGCCGGCAAGGTGGGCGCGAGTCCGACCCGGGGCTGTGGGAGGTCGGCGGGGTCGCGAGGCCCGCGCAAGCCCTCAGCAGAGGAGCCGCCTCGGTCTCCCAGGTCCAGCGCCCCGCGGCAAAGTCAAGTCTGGTTAGGGAAGACGTCCTCCTCCGCAGCCCGAGTAGGCCGCAGTGCTGAGCAGCGGTTGACGGAACTTGAGGCCCGCTTCCTCCACCGCCCCTTCCTCACAGCGGCGAGGTCTCTCGGCTTTGCAGTTAGCTTCACAGGCTCCGACGCCCGAATCCGTCCGCCACTATCCCACAATTCCCCCAGCGTAGGGGCACGCAGAGGAGTCCGCCCTCCCGCGGTTGTCTCTGTGTGCGGGTGGGGGGTGGTGGTGAGCTCGGGGCGGCAGTGCGCGTGCGCGTGGGCCTTGCAGCTCCCGACCCCGCCCACCTAGACCGCCGCCGCTTCTGGTAGATGCGCTTGCGCCGGTTAGTGCCAATGGTCTCTCCCCGAATAAACCCAGGCAACCCAATGCGCAGGCGCCTCTGCATGCCCGGTGTTCATTATGACTCCATTCCAAAACCCAGAGAAAACCCTGCCCCAGGATTTTCCTCCATTCATATTCCTTTTTTTTGTTGTTGTTGTCTCCAGGGTCCAGCTCCTGGGGAATTTCTGTCCAACCAGGGCCAGGAGCCTTTATCCGGCCGGGTGTTCCCGACGCCTTCTCTGGCTTCAGGCTGCCTTTAGTCGCCCACCAGGCATTTGCCCTGGCCATGTCCTGACGGTTTTCAGTCGCCGCACAGAGAATCCTCTAACACCATCGACTGGAAAGGTTCTCCCAGACCTTGTATCAATACTCAGTAAGGTCCCATCCGGCCTCAGTTTCCCCAACTTTCACAGCCACCTCTTGCCATGTCGCAGGTCCACTGTAAAGGCAAGATGAGTAAACTTGGGCAAGGACTCAACTTTTATTTATTTTTAACCTGCAGTTACCTTTTTCATTACAGGGACATTTTATTGAATCATGTTTGAGTACATTTTCCTGTTTTAGGGGTTCTCTATTTCCTACGATGCCAATTAGGCATGTCTTTCAACATCTGTTAGCTTCTAATTGCCTTAATCTTTGTCATCTCCTCTTGCATTCATTGACTTGATTTTTCAGCTGTGTCTGGTCTGGCCCTTGCTATTTACAGCGTTATTTATTGCATGTGATGTTTTTCTGGTCCTTGTACCAGGTGGCGATTGCTGAGTGACAGTCAACCACAACCTCAGTGGCATGTGTCATGTTCACAGCTTGGAGCTGCAGGTGTGAAGGTTGGCAAGCCGAGGTCCGTGCTTGCCCGGACTGTCTGTGACCAGAGGGACAACGATGTCTAATGCTGGGGGGAAGTAGCAGCAAGACTACATAGCCACTTTTTCTGACTGGCTTTAAGAATAATAAAGTTAGCATCTGACCTCCAGTTCTTGGATCCTGTAACTACCTTTCCATTTATCCTGAATTTGGGAAGACGGATGAAAATAATTGATCCCTCCAAAATCCCAGGAGTACAAGTTACATCCCACAGGATAGGAATCAGTCTGGCATGTAACGAAGCCAGGCAAGGAGACACAGGGCGGAAGAGCATGGCTTCGGGATTAGCCCAGGTCTGAATCAAGGCGTGTGAACTTGGCCATGGATTAACCACCCTGGGCACAGCTTCCTCATCTGAAAAACAACAGCCAGGGCTCTTGGTTGCAAATGGCAAGACCTCCTTGACCTAATCTGAAAAGCAATCTATGAAAGGTAGTAAGGCAGTTCCTCCGCCCCTCGCTCCCCCGCCAAATCTCTCAGAAGGCTGGAGAGAAGGCTCATGTGGTGCAGTTGGGAATGAACCCACACCCAGCACAGACTGGCCACCACCATCGGGGCAGCACAGTCAGCTTCCAGTGCTCTGTGCACGTGCTCCCACCTTCTGTCAGCAGCTCCCCAACAGGCTGCTGGTGGGCTCTGAGTGGTGGGGCTGAAGCCACATAATATACCCCTGCAGGATGCTGGGAAAGAAGATGGCTCCCACCTTAGGGCTCTGGGTGTGAAAATCTAAGGTGAGGGATTGGCCAAATGGAGGAGAAATCAGAGATGGTGGGTGGCCAGGAAGTGAGTGGGTGTGCCCCACGCTCCCTTTTGAGAGGCAGGGAGAATGGAAGGAGACAATGGCTCTGGGACTTAGCAACGCGTTTATTATCCCCCGGTGCTGCCCACTGCCACCCCCTGCAGTGGCTCCCAAGGTCGCCTAAGACCGAGCCCCTCCTGTCCTCCCTAGGCACCCTCCAGAGGTGACAAAGGCAGAAGAGGGGGAGAAACACCTTTATTGGAAGACAGTGTGGACACATAAGGGGAAACAGAGTGAGACATTAGGGTCTGGGGGGCTGGTGCCTTTCTCAGCACCCCTCTGGGGAGGTGAGCAGAGACAGGCGGACACGCCCCAGCCTGGCACCCACAGGCTCTGCTCTCCCTTCAGCGAGGGCCTCCCAGCTCTCACAGGAGGGAGGCAAGAGGCCTAGGGTTCCAACAGAGAGGGGGCCAGAAGCCACCGCGTTTCACCGGTCCATGCTGTCGTCCGTCGGGCTGGAGAAGCAGGTCTGTAACAGCTTTTCGCAGAACTCCAGCTCCTCCTGGATGGGGGGTAAGAGCGGGGGCCCTGAGTGCACAGGCCCGTCCCTGCCTCCGCACCCGGAGACGGTTCCTCTTCCCTCCATGACCCCCGCCAGCTCCAGAAGTCCCCCAGGGTCTTCGGACCTCTTCTCAGATCCGTGACTCGCCCTCTGTCGTCTCAGCTGCGTCTGGACTACTGAACCCCAGGGTCTCCCAGCCTCTGACCTCGCTCCGCTGGTCTGTCCTCACCTCAGTACCCTTGGGCTCTTTCTAACTCCCAAACAGAACTTGGCCTACTTATCCCTACCTGGCCTACTTATCCCTACCTAGAACCCCTTCCACGGATACACACTACTGAAACCACGGAAGCAAGCGCTGACGGGTTGAACCGCATAAACCTAAAAGGTATCTGCACAGCAACAAGATGCCAGAAGCAAAAATGAAAGAAAACCGAGTTGGCGGAAAAAAAATAAATTGTGACTCATCCCACGAGGATAACATGGTGAATACTTAAATCAACTGCAGAAACCACCACCCAATAGCTAACAGGCAAAGGATATAAATGAGCAGTTAACGAGTGAAAAAGGCCCAACCTCGTTAGTGAGAGAAATGCAAATATAAAGTGGATTCACCAATCAACTTGAAAAACAGGTCAAACGGTTTGAAGCCACCCTGTCCTGGCCAGGATGTTGGGCACCCTGGTGACTGCAAGGCAGGCCAGGTCAACCCCTAGGGAGAACAACTTGGCAGAAGTTATCGCAATGGCTCTTAATCCTATAATTTCACCTTTATTGTACCTTAACTGGGCCTTTCCCTTTCTAAAAATTTGGTTTTTTTTTTTTTAAGATTCTATTTACTTTTTAGAGAGAGAGGAAGGGAAGGAGAAAGAAAAAAATATCAGTGTGTGGTTGCCTCTTCTGTGCCTCCTACTGGGGACCTGGCCTGCAACCCAGGCATGTGCCCTGACTGGAAACTGAACCGGTGACCCTTGGGTTTGCAGGCTGGCGCTCAATCCACTGAGCCACACCAGCCAGGGCTAGAAATTTGTTCTGTAGACATACTCACACATAGAAAGTAACATATGTGAAAGGCTATTCTTTAGCAGTATTGTTAGTGTCCAAGAGTGGAAACAGCCTGGGTATCCATCAAGAAGGGCAGGGGCACGAGAGGGTCTCGCTACTGTGCACCGATACGAGGAGAGAGGAAAGAGCACGCAGCCATGTGCTGCGGAGATGCTAGGAAAGGGGATGTGGCAAGAACCACGATGGTGGTCAGGACGGGCTGATTTGGCAGAACACGGAGGGAGGAAGAGGAACAAAAGTCATGGGCACTCGGGCTTGTTTGTGCAGATCATCTCGGGAAAGTCGCAGGAAGTGGGAGAGGTGTTGGGTGGCCAGGAACAGGTTGTTGTTGATCACTTGTTTGTGATTTGTTATTGTATTGAATATCTAAGCGCTTTACCACTTATTTGTTACTTAATATCTATATAGTTAAATATCTAAGTGGTACCGATGGATTTGTTATTTATCTTTCCCACTAGCGGGTGAATCACTTACTTACCTAATTAAATATTGAGTGAGTTGTTATTTATCGCACATTTGTTACTTATCTAGTGAAATATTTAGTTGGTTGCTATTTATCATGCACTTGTTACTTATTGACCTAATATTTAAATTCTAAATATCTGAATCTGATGTAAATGATCTGGATAATAATTAAATGAGTTCGTTAACCCTTTAAGAAACTCAGAGTTCCTCCTTCTCCCAGCCGACAGCAGGAGGCACATGGGAGGTGGCGGGCATGTTTGCCGAATGGGTGACCAGAGAAACTTGCGAATGAAACACACGCACAGCGTGGAGAACAGACAGAGACGCAGAGGCCAGGGATAGGGCGGGTCCTGCCCGCAGATGCCAGGGCGAGTCCCCAGGGTCAGCCCCACCTGGTACTCCTCGTGCTGCTGCAGTAGCTGGCAGCGATGTCGAAGGAGCTCCTCCAGGCCCAGCTCCGGCTCCCGGCACTCCCGCATGCCCTGGGGGAAGTCTGTCACCAGGCTGCAGGGACAGGACAGCAATCGTCGTAGGGACCTCCCTCTCCACGGCTCCACCCCACAGTGCTTTCCCCACCAGGGAGGTGAGGAAAGACAGTTCCCCAGATCGAGCCTCAGTTTCCCCATCTGCAACACGGATCTCACGTTGCCCTCAGCCCATCCCAGGGACTTGTACAAAACAGGGCATTTAGCATAGTCAGGCCTGAGGCCAAGCCACACTAGGGGGCTGCTTCCCATGTACTGGGCTGCTCCATCCCGTCACTTTTTCCGATGCTAATCTTCGTGTCCCATGTGGGGTGGGGGTGTCAAAGAGAACCCCCCCCCCCGTGGGCTGCTGTGTCACTCCCCTTACAGGGGAGGAAGCTGAGGCTCAGAAAGGGCCAGTATTCCCCAAGAGGAAGCCCCAGACTCCTGGGTCCCAGGAAAGAGGCGGAGCCTAGTGGTGCCATTCCCACCCCCAGAACTCCTTCCCTCGGGGGCCCCAGCGCACCTGCACAGGGCTCCCAGCACGTGCTCATGGAAGGGGCTGTGTTCTGTCCGGACGAGGGCTACTAACTGCTGGACCATTCCCATGGAGCATAGGGTCTCTGAGGGAAGAGCCTCAGGGGTCAGAGGGGCACTCCCCGCCCCCCACCATCCTCCAGGTGCACCCCAGGCTCCCTGTCCCTGCGACCCCACCTTTGTGTTCCGGGTGGCCCACAAGCAGGTTCT